GGACCCTGCTGGCTTCTGTTGACCACTGTTGACGATTCTTGTCTTTCTCGCAAGCGCTCGATCCGAGCCTCCGTTTCTACATATACACTCTTCGATCGATACATCAGAACTGGTCAGCAGAGGCTAATAGAGGCAAATGGAAGCTGACAGCAGCTGACCAGCAGTCAATAGTAATCGTTATACATTGTCAAAAGTATGCAGGCCCGTGGTTTCTTATCGTTTCGACCAAACTGTCGTTCGACGAGAGATCGATAGTACCCAGAGTCGCGTTATCGTCAGTGAATCCGTACGAGGCCGGGAGCACCGAAATTGCTCGGCGAGAAAAATAAAGGAAGGAAATGGAATAACGGACGGTTCGCCCGGCGTCTCGCGGGACGTTCTTCTTTGGGCGACGCGAATCCACGGGTGCCTGCCTCGACGGGGAAAAATGAAAGGGACGAACGGACGAGGGCGGGAGAGGGAACAACGGAAACCCAGCGACGTAAAAAAGATGTACGCGCGAGGGAGGGATATCCGGCGCGGCATCGCGCCGCGATAATTCTTCCGAGAAACGGCGCCGCGGCGCGCTACGCGCAGAGTGATTTACAGGTCCGCGGGACACTGTATTTTATCCGGTTCGAACCTCTTCCGGGCGAGGGATTCTTTCACGTGGCGGCGGTTCCGCGCGGCGCGCTTTCAGATCCACGCGAAAAGAAACGAGCAACGGTCCGCGGGAGAAGAATGGAACGGGGGCGGTTGTTCGTTTCGAGGAACGGGCGTTGCAAAACACGGCAGAACTACATTTATCGCGACCGACCTTTCGCCAGTGCTCGATTTAGTGAACTGTTGGATTTCGGTTACGCGAACGTCTACGAAAATCGGAACAAAATACATTTGTGCCACGATGGATATCCCTGACGATCATCGACGCCCTCCGTTGATTAAATACAGACGATAAATTGGGTAAATGACTGCTGTTGCACTTGTAATTGCACTTATTGCCGTGTTGGATGACCAACCTCCTTATCGATGTATATTCTGACTCGTCGCCTCTTAGGCGCCTAGATGACAAGCCCTTGCTCGTTTTGTCAACAAGGGTAGAGTTCACCTAGGTTCGTCATACCATGCCCCTTTTTCCTTTCTTCAGTTATAGTATATAAGATTTAGAAAGTAGGCAAGAAAGAGTATTACGTTCTTGACTGTCGGACCGTCAGACCCGTTTTAATGTACGCCATTGTTTGCCTCGAATATACATATATTCATATTTCAACCGCGTACTAATTTCTCCAACCCGGGCTTCAACAGCTGGGTATTTTGAATAAAACGGTGTAGGGTGGCAGTAGGTGAATCGCTCGTCCTAGTTGAGAGCAGGAAATAATTTACAGTCCCGCAAACTGATATTCCATTACATAGTTTCTGATATATAGTAAATCAAAGGTGTAAGAATTGATAAGGAAACGTGAGGGATGAACGGTGGTCCGGTCTCGTTCGTTGTTGGAAATTTGTATCCAGGAGCGAATTTCGCCCGGATTTCGTCTCTGAACGGGCAACGTGCAAGAAGAAACGACGATAAATGGCCAAGGACGCGGAGGACGTGCCCCTAACGAGGGGTTGCTGGGGCTTTCATAGGGCGGCACCTGCTTGTCATCTTTCAGATGCCACTTAATCGCGTTTACGCGGGACGTGCCCTACGCGAACGTTCGAGGAATACTCGAGCTAAGGAAAAACGTTACGCGGACCAGCGATTTACCCGGAACTGTGCGATCTTTGCGTTAAGGAAAAACGCCACGGAGGCCGACGCAAGGGGTGAACATTCGCTAACGGGTCGCTTTTAATTCTCCGTCGCCGTGAACTTTGTTTTACTCCCTCGAGGGGAAATTAATTTCGGGCCATTCACGTACTCGTGAATTAATTAATTTTCTGCAAGGGGATATCAGATCTCACGATCGCCGCGTAAATCTTGGTTACTTCTTCGCTGAAGAAATTAGAGGCTCGCTGGTAAACATTTTCAAACGTTCTGCCGTCGAGGTAAAATTTGTCAAAATTTCGTATTTAAAAAAACCACCGGTAGTTGAGACTCGCGCGAACGCCCACCCTTAAAAACTAAATCACGCTACGCGTCCGTCTACCGTCAAAGCATTCTTCAAAGGGACCGTCTGACGAAACGGTGTTGAATATCTTTGATCCTTCGTCTGACGTTTCCTAGTCCTTTCACGCGCTCTCGGTTTGTTTTATATTTTTATTTCGCCCGGCAACTTTGAGGTTAGGTTTTAAAACAACCCCCCGCCTTCGCGCAATTATGCAATTACTCCCGGGCGCTACGCGCACACCTTCCAATTTGCGCGATAAAAGTGTAATAATAATAATGATCCTTGCGCGGAAAAAAACCAAGCTAAAATTGTCTCCACGGGAGTCTTCTCCTTCGTAATTATTTATTATTATTTCATTCCATTTCTATCCGGAAGATTGTTTTTGGTCCCCGGGAACATCTGAGAATGTTTTAAGAATCGATCGATCGACACGTAAAATGGACGCATCCGCTTGAACATCGTTTCTTCTCCGATTTCTTGCGAGCAAAGGCTCGTTGTTTACCGATAAGACGAGCAAGATCGATCGCCGCGGCTCGTTTAAAATTACTGGCGGGCTAGGAAATACGCGGTCGCCCGGTAACGACTCGTCGAAACGCGCAGACCGATCGCTTCTTCGACGCGGAATAAATAGGGGACTCGAGTGTTCTCCGTAAAACGGTCGGAAGCATCCTTCGACCGCGACTAATGGAACGAAAAGACGAGCGAGCGAACAGGCAAATGAATGGAACCGAACTATCGATCGAAAAATTACGAAGACCACCTCCCCCCCCCAGCCCCCCAGCCTCCGTCGAAACGTTTTTCTTCTCGCTCGTCGGGGGAGCCTGGGCTCGTCCGCTTTCTTCGAATCGCTCCTTCTTCCTTTCTTTTTTCTCGTCCCTTTTTCATTTTTTCCTCCTTTTTGCTTCCTCCTTCGCTTTTCTCTGGCAATTATTCGCCGATTAGGAACGCGCGCCGCGCGGTGGCTGCCAGGTGAAAGGGAACGAGCGATCGATCCGTTCGGTGATCCGGTCGGACTCGCCCCCCGCAATCGTCGCGGCGAACCGCGAAACGCCGTTGGAAACCAGAATCTCTCGCGAAGAGACGAGTACATTTGCCTTTCGCCGTATTTTCGCGATCGCATATTCTCTTGATCGAATACATTGGATTTGTACAGGTTGCGAAGTGTGCAACCATCGTTGTCACGTTCGCGTGACGTTGGCCTGTCGCGAATAGTTGTCTGACGAGAGTTCCCGCGCTCGCCAGTAGAGGGCCGCGCTCCACTTTCACTTTTCTCACAGGCGTTCGAACGACCTTCTATTCCTGCTAGAGTTTTATAGAAAACAACTGTAGATGAATAGGAAGATTTTACAAATGCCTGTGGAACAATATTAACACTGGAACCACCTCAATTATAGTGTGTTTATTTGTACCATAGAAATTGAAACGATAGGTCCGTGAAGAAATATATAATGCAATGGAAATAAGGGTTTATATATTCTCTTATGTGAATATGAATAATTCTTATAGAAAATTACGATAAATTTTCAAAAATTCAGTCGAGTTTTTTACAAGTTTTATTAGAAATTACGAATGGGTCATTTTGACTGGTTTGGTATATAAATATGGACAATTATAGTGTGTTTATTTGCATCATGGAAATTGAAACGATAGGTCCGTGAAGAAATATATAATGCAATGGAAATAAGTGTTTATTTATTCTCTTATGTGAATATGATATATTCTTATAGAAATTTTTTACAAGTTTTATTAGATATTACGAACGGGTCATTTTGACTGGTTTGGTAGTACTAGTGTTAACACTAGAAATATGGACAATTATAGTGTGTTTATTTGTACCAAGGAAATTGAAACGATAATGCAAGGCAAATAAGTGTTTATTCGTTCTCTTACAGAAAATTACGGTAAATTGGCAAAAATTCGGTCGAGTAAATTTTTTACAGGTTTCATTGGAAGTTACAAATGGGTAATTTTGACTGGTTTGGTAGTTCTAGTGTTAAACGCCTCCAGTTCTTACGCAACGATCGTAACGAAGGAATCGATCGAAAGCTGAGAAACGAATAGAGTATAGAATCGCGGGAAATTTGTGGTGGTTGGGACTCCCGTCTCCGTAAACCACGAAACACGGGGGGTGGTTTCGCGAACAGGGCTCGGGGTAGGAAGCTCCGCGGAGTTCGAGAGACGCGGTCGACGAAACAGCTGGTAGTTGCACGCGTGTTTGCCCGCGGAGGAAACTGTTTGAAAGGGTTTAAAGGCTAGAACCTTTGAAAGGATTGAAAGGGCGGCGTGCAGAAGGAGAAAAGGGAGGAAAAAGAGGCGGAGGTGGGGGGGTTTCGGTGCGTGTCACAGTTTACGGGAGCGTCGTCGATAGAGGAGGGCGCGAGAGCCTCCGTCTCGTTAATTTTCGCGGAGAAAGCCCTGGGTATTGCGGGGGCGTTCGTTAGCCGACCGACGCGAATAATGCGGATTCCTATAAACTCGTCACGCGCCGCGGGCGCTATCGATGGAAGAATGTCCTTTAATTACTGCTCCACGTACGCGACGAATGCCGTGGCGTTAGCTCCCATGGTTTTGTGCCTCGTCTACGTCGTTCGGGAGCGTTTCTTTTTTTTTATTTTAGACGATATCGCCGCGAAAGTCGAGCGCATTCATGCCAGTCCGGGGGACAAGGTTTCGCCACCGTGGCGCGGATTCGAGAGATCCTGTGGCCTTCGCGATCCTCGTGGCTGCGCTGTCCGCTCGAGGGTTTCGCTAGCGCCAGGCCTCGTATCGGGAATAAGGGCTCTTCTCGCCCTGCGGATGGACCTTCGTGCTGCAAGTGGCCTCGCGAGCTCGTCTCCTGTGAAAGGAGCTCTCGTTTAGAATCGCGTAACTTTTCCAATTAAATTTTTCAGATTTTCAAGCTTCTTTACGAAAACAATTTTAACCCCAATTATGTGTGCCAAAAGCGACACCAAGGTAGACTTATTACGTCTCTGAGACGTCATTGTAAGCTAAGGGGTTAATGCAAGCTTCGTGGAAAGTGGAAACAACCTTCGATTCTTGATAGATAGCACCTATAAATTGTACATATTGTTGGATGACCAACACGACCAAACACCACTCCGTCACCTCGCAAACATTACTCATCCAAAACATCCTAGTCCAGATTTCTAATCCTTACTCATCCTGAACCTCGTACCCTTCCTGAGCCACACTATCCCTTGACCATCGTCTCTACCTCTACCCATCTCTACCAATAACATATAAACGGACAGAAAGAGTCTAGTCTTCAGTCGACGTAATAGTTGTACGAGTTTTCTTTTCTTAAATAAAGTGTTGGGATCCAACAATATATTACTCGTATCTTTTGCAAAATATAAATTGAGGCTCAAGACTATAGAACGCAGCATAGTCGATCCTCTTCCGCTAGAAAATCCTGTAATTATGAAAACAGGTTGCCCGCAGCGTTCTGCGATCGATCTCTCGACGAATAAAGCTTCTAAAGTCTCGATTATCCGCCGCGACACGATTGCACGTAAACGTTATAATCCCACGGCAGTTAGCGTCTAATCACAGTGGAACCATAATCGTAAATCTTGGAAGCGTGCAAACTGTCCAACTAACCCGTTTCGCAACAGGATCGAATCCGTTAACGTCGCGTAGCGAGCCACGAACTTTCGCGTGGTTATCGTCGATCTTGCTCGATCCCCGGGTTGGGGAGTATCGTGGAAACCCCAGGAGACGAGTATTTCGGCGAAGAAAGAGCAACGACTCTTCGGAGGAATCCGCGAAAAAAACCGGAAACGGTAGAAGTGGGCCCCCGTCTGAGCCACGTTTTGCGCACTTGATGCCGTAAATGGCGTAACGAGCCCTCGTTTTGAATCGCGCGGAAAAAACGACCACGTAGACGAGCATCGTCTGTAATTCCGTTAATGGATCGTAACAGCGAAATTTTGTCCTAGAATCGTCAAAGGGCCGCCCCCCGCGGCGCGCCGTCTCGCATTCAAATGTCACTCGAGGGCCCGCTACTCCCGACGTTTCTCTTTGCGTTCCCGTCAATTGACCCGGCGTCTATTAATACTTGCGCCGCATAGAAACGTACTCCGGTTTTCCGCGATCTTCCAATTACTCCATCGGTCCCGTGGTTTTCGCGTACGTCCGCCGCTGTTTGCTCGATCGTTCCGCTACCCCGGGGCTCTCTTCGCACGTCGTTGGTCAAGATCGTCGAGAGCGTGGGTCTCGAGAGATTTGACTGGAGTAAGAGGAACGTTGTCTTGCTGACAAACATTTCGAATGCTTCGACGAACGATTCCCACGGTACGGGAACTCTGGTACAGAATCCTGATGCAAAAGGGAATTGCGCACCGGAGTTCGATTCCGTTCGACGCGTTAGTAAATATCGTGTATTTGTTTGTTTCATCGGGGAACCCTCTTGGTACCGAAACAGGACGGAGTGGTGAAACTTTTTCACGCGTAGGAGAAGAAAGTTGAAGTTAAGACGAGAGCAAACACGTCTTGGCTCCATTTTCTACTCTCCAGAATCGATTTAAAAAATTATTAACTGATTTCTCACGATAAAATATTCCGAATACGCCTGCGATTCGATATTAGCTGATCGATGCGCCCGACCATCGGTTGATATTTCTACTTGCGTTCAGGTTTGCAGACATCTATGGGCTTCTAATCGATGTAAATTCGATTAAAAATACCAACAATGGTATTGATAAGATGGAAAATAAATACATTGAGGCGATTAAATTTGATTGAATGCGATTTCAGTGATGCGTCTGACCGTTCCTCGTTGTTTCTACTTGCGATTGAGTTCGCAGCCCGCGCGCCGTGTTCTGTGCTCTGTTATAGTATTACACGTTTGATTCTAACTAGATAAAGGATGCTGAGATCAACGAGAAACAGGTATTACTATATACAATGTTTTATAACTTCAATGCAAGTAGAAAAGACTGACAATGGTCAGACATATCTGCCAAGTCGATTTTCTCGAGAACAAAATTAATTTATTCTACATTCTCGATTCGTTTCTGTACGAAGGATTACTCTATATAAAATTGTACCATCTGTTCTAAATCACTGTACAAAGAAAAACCATTAAAGCGTTGCATTTAATATTTTAATCGAATTACTGAACAAAATACAGTCGAATAGATATTTGTAACACTAAAAGGGATGTTACTTGAATTGGTTGTGTGTTTAAAATGATCTGTTACACCTGCTATTTTACACGTAGCAACAGGGACCCGTAATCTGCCATCCTGTAAAAGTAGGTTAAAGTCGGAGGGGGACACGTTGAGTGCTACCCTTGTTAGAAGGGAGTGAATTAAGTGGCGAGGATAGCGACGCGACAATTGAGCCGTTAATTGTGGAAGTGGTGTAAATCCATCCGTCTTTGTTTCGGGATATAAACGGTTTGCAATCGATTCGAAAACGTTGCCGAGCGCTAATTGGTTCGTTGCATACTTTTCACGATCGACGATGTTTCAATTTACCAGATGTTTACACAATGCGAACCGTTAGCGACCAGAAATGATCTTCAATTAAAATATTATACCTTTTTACTACAGCTCCGACGCTTTGTATACCCAATTTACACAATATTTAATATCATCTCGACACTGAAATTCTATCTTTGTAAGTTTTCGATTCTAAAGTAAGTTTCCGATCCCACGATCGTACAAATTGTGATCGTTGAAGACGTCACGTTTCCCTAGACATTAAAAAACGTGAAATATCAGATAAATAATCGTTTCGAAATCCTCTTGCGACGTTTTCCAGGTGAACGGGCAAGACGTATCGAACTCCAGCCACGAAGATGCGGTGCGTTGCTTTCAGTCGGCCCAGGAGCCGATCATCGTGGAGGTCCTTCGACGACAACCGTTGCACGGACGAGCTGTCTGGAAGGATCAGCCACAGGAGAAGAACGAAATCGAGGATAGAACGATCGAGGTGACCAAGAAGGAGCTACCGATGGTCGCGTGCCCTACCCTGGTGTCGACGGCGGTGCAAACCGACTGGGCAGGCCTCCTCGAGGAAGAGGAACTGATACCAGTGCCACTCGGCGTGGACGAGCAGACGAACGACAGTTTCGAGGACTTCCTCGCCCACGACATCGACTTCGAGGTATTTCTCAACCAAATGCAACCTTATTTATAGCGAACAAACCTCTCAGGTCAAATTGTTACGTCACTAGATCGCTAACTATAAAGTTGAGATATCTATTGTATAGTCTGACTAAAGTAAAATCACCGTCGATCGAAATATAATTGATGTTCATAGACTGTGTTTGAGTCTACCTTGAATCAAGGTTTCAGGGGTTTCAGGGGGTGGTTTTTCGTATAATTTGGTAATAAAAGAAAGCGTATCGCGACGTTTCCGATTCCATGGTTTCTGGCCCACGATATCGACTTCGACGTATTTGTTAACGACAGAGTCAACCAAATTGGAACCTTATTTATAGTGAACAAACCTCTCAGGTCAAATTGTTACGTCACTAGATCGCTAACTATAAAGTTGAGATATCTATTGTATAGTCTGACTAAAGTAAAATCGCTGTCGATCGAAATATAATTGATGTTCATAGACTGTGTTTGAGTCTACCTTGAATCAAGGTTTCAGGGGTTTCAGGGGATGGTTCTTCGTATAATTTGGTAATAAAAGAGCGCGTATCGCGAGGTTTCTGGACGATCGTAACGTCGACAACACGATTTTTACAGGAAGTGACGCTACGGAAAGCGGGAAGCGCCGAAAAACTGGGGCTCACGGTCTGCTACAGCTCGGGTTCCGGCAGCGAGGACGCCGACACGGAAGTTTATATCTCGGAAATAGTTCCTGAAAGTCTTGCAGCGCGCGACGGACGCCTGCGGGAAGGCGACCAAATCTTGAGGGTAAGCCACCGCGAGTTATTACCTCGACGAAATTTAGGTACGAGACGGCTCGAACCGAAACGCGTCGCTGAAAGAGTACCAAACGTGAAACGTGCCTCCGAACGAGCACTAAATATAAGAACGCACCCCTACGAAACGCTAACGGGACTTCTAAAAGGGCACGAAATATGAGACGTGCCCCCAAAAGGGTGTCGGAAAATCTCTGAGAAAAATTGCTCGTGCCCCCCTTTGGCGGATAAATATTATTTTAAAATACCCTGATCGCATTTTCGTAAAGTAAAAATAAATTAAACGATGCACGTTGGGGAGTTGAAAAATTACGTTTTAAGTCGTTCGAGGCGGCGTATGTCGGTGGTCCCCGACGCAAAGCGTAAGGAATCCGTAAGTACGATTGTAGGCGTCGTCGTCATCGTCGTCGACAACGAATCGAACTGGTTGATTCGATTACGAGATAGGACTAGGCCCCGTTAGACGAGAGAGAAGCTCCGTCGCGTTTTCTCCTCCCGGTTTCCTTCCGACCTGCTACCCTTCTAATCTCGTTAGGCGGATTGTAATTACGGACAAAGTGGTCGACTTAAGGGAAATCGGATGGAAAAACGAGCCGCGGCTACGTCCCCGGGATTTCTTCCCTCGATCCGTCTGCCCGGGGATATATCTTTCGAGTCGTCGTCTTTCGGCTGTACACCGCGTTTATTCGTTTCAGGTGAACGGAAGGGACGTGGCGAACAAAGAGCAGACCGAGAACCTGTTCGCCGAGACGAAGAGCGCGGTGACCATCCTCGTCAGCCGGTGTCTCTATCAGGTAAACTCTTCAAACACAAAACACCCTCGGTCTCGCTGCTATCTGCAATGAAACCTTTCTCTAAACTCTGTTTCAGGACGACGAGTTCGACGACAGGCGAACGTACCATCAGGTGGGTAGTTGATTTAAACAAATAGATATTAATTTCCCCAGAACTTCCAAGACTTCTGAAAATAATAAATCGAATCGCCCCGGGCTCTATCAATCTTTCCTTTCCTTTCGCCCACGAGCCATCGATCCTCGCGACCCCGTTTGACCGTCGTCTTTCTTTCCCTCCGTTCAGGAGTCGCCGTCACTGTCGCCGGAACACCTACCCTCGTACCAGAACAGTTTGATCGAGCAGCTGATACGACAGCAGCAGCAACAGACGGAGGAACGAACCAAAGAAACGGAAGAGAACACGTCCACGTTGAAAGCACCGCCGCCAGTGCCGTCGCACACTTCCCAGCAACAGCAGCCGCCATCCGTGAGCGTGTTCTCCACGACGACGTCGTCGTCGACGTGCTCGTCCCAGACCTCGCAGAAATCAGGAAGGAACGCGTCGTCGCCGGCGCATCACGCGGAGGACCGGAAGCAGTGGATGCAGGACGCGCTCAAGGACTGCTCGAAGAAGATGGACGGTCTGTGCGTGCGTGGCCAGCACACGGCCACGGTAAAACTGACGGAGGCGTACTCGAGCCACGTGTGGAGCGAGACGGAGCACATATACGAGACCATACCGGAATCGGACAGCGAGCCAATCTACTCGTCACCGTACGAGCATCAACACTGGACCAATCACGGTACGACCACCACGACCACCACCACGTCCACGATGACGAACACGCAGCATTCGGTGAACCAGGTGAACCAGGTGAACCAGACCACGACCAGGTGGCACTCCTCGTCCAAGAGCAACAGCTCCGGCGAGGAGAAGGACAGCTCGAGCGCCTACAACACCGGCGAGTCGTGCAACAGCAATCCCCTTACGTTGGAGCTACACCAGAGCGGTAAGGATCATCACAGGAGCACCCTGGTCCTCTGCCCGCCAAAGACACCCACCGCGGTCCAGCAACAGAGACTCAGCTGCACCTGTCCCGCGTCCGGGAACAAACAGACCACCAGGAGCCAAACGGGCAGAAGAGGAGGCTCGAGCTCCCACCATCACAAGGACCGCGACGCGACGAACGCAACCACCGCGGTCCTACCGGCGGACACCATGTACACGAACATGGCCAACCTTCAGCAAACGATGCTGCTCCAACAACAGCTGTTCAAGCAGGCGCTAAACCGTAGGAACCTGACCACATCGACCACCGCCACCATCGCGGCGGCCAGCCCCAGAGAGACCACCGCCGGCACCGCGAAAAAGTCCAAGTCGCACGGGAACTTTCAGGCCCCGAATCTGACGCGGTACCAGTTCGTCGGTAGCCAACAGGTATGCACCTCCACCGCCTGGGTGCCGCCCGAGGACAAGGCCAACGACGTGCAGATGGAGTGGAAGGTCAAGAGGAGGGCGGACGGGACCAGGTACATCGCGAGGAGGCCGGTCAGAAATCGTATACTGAGGAACAGGGCCATCAAGATATCCGAGGAACGGGCTGGGCACAGCACCGAGGACGACACCATGTCGGAAATAAAGGTAGTTGCTGGTTCTAACTGTTTTTTGGGACGCTTGTTGATCCGGGACAGGATCAATCCTTAAGTGGATGGCAAATTTAAACTAATAATTAGACTGCGGATGTTTATCAAGAAACTACAGAATGCACTTAAGATGCGAATTATTATGTTTAAGGGTTGAGACAATCATCTACAAAGCTCCCATTTTATCAATTCTATTAATAAAAGTATGAATTTGCATAAAGATCCCCGCAGTCTACTAATAATTATTTGAAAATTTAATTTGGTAAAAATTAACATTAAAATAATTTAGTTTAGATTGATGGTCCACTTGGGGGTTAAGGAAGGTGTTGTCTCGTCTTGAGTTTTGCTAACTGTATGATAATGACTATTGTTGCGTTCCAGATTGGCAGGTACTGGACCAAGGAAGAACGCAAGAGACAGTTGGAGCGAGCACGTGAGCGTAAACAGAGGCAGCAAGAGCTGATGTTGCAGCAACAGCAGCAGCAACAGCTCCAACTGCAACAGACCAACGATCTACTTGCGTGCGACTACGCGGACGAGAAGGGAACGAAGAAACCGTTGAACATCGTGGAGCTGAGCCACAAGAAGATGGCCCGGAAGAAGAACACGTTGGACGATTTCACCACCGTCCAGGAGATGTTGGTACATGGGAACAGAGTGGGCGGAGCGGGAGGGCCTGGACCCGGTGGTAAACTCATGGGCCTTCTGTCGGTCACAACGGTTTGAGCGCGACTCTGTCGCTAAATAATAATGCTGTTCCCGCGTTTTCGTAATTCGGATTTCCTCCGCGGGGAGCGCTGCTCTCGTGCACGACACGCGAAACGATCTCGTCGATAATCAAGTCGATCCTTTCCTAACTGTACGCGGGGATGGGCAGATTCAAACGATTTTTAAATCGAAATGCATCCAAAGCATCGAATACAGTATTTAACATTGTATATTGTATTTCGCGATAATCAAACGCCGACGTTCGATTTGTATTTTGTCTTTATTCGTTGCTGTCGAGTATCGGGACACTCTAACCTTTATTCGAACCATCGTTGAATACCGAATGATCTATTTTCTATTTAATATCCGATTAGCAAAGAATCCTTATATTCAATTCCGCTGTGTTTCAGGCCGTGTGTAGGAGCAGATTGACGAATATAAAATAATATAAATTTTTTAGAAATTTTTTAGAGACTTAGATGTAGAAAGTTTTTAAGAGCCTAGGTACTGTAGAAATTGATAAATTTGTAAAAAATTTATATTACAAAGATCTGTCGCGTTGATACTATACACGTACGACTACTGAACTCATTAACACATCGTGCACCGAAATGATTAAATTTGTCCTTTCCGTTTACGCCACGCAATACGATACGAGGTACCTGTTCAGGTATTCCGTATTCGACGATGAAGCCGAATACAACGGAAACGATTACTTCCGAGCATTCGAGTATAAACAGAATATAAATATGTTAAATGTCCGAGTACCTTTGCCCATCCTTCACTGTATGTCTACCAGCCTTACGATTACTGTTTTGACCGGTATGTGTGTAGATGTACGCATAAAATAACCACTCGAGAATGCCTCCTATTCGTCTTAACTGTTCCAAACGATGTCTCCTACTATTCGGGGCTACCGAAAACTCGGACCGTGCTCGACGATACGTGTTTCAAGAAAAATAGAAACGGAATCGTGTAGGTTAACGTAACGTGTGAAACGTCGGTGAATACACTCGGCCCGAAACGGTTGTAAATATTTATTATATAACGATAAATATACATATGAATGTATGTAGATTATTTTACACGAGCCGGAACATTTTCCGTGGACGAGAAATAGAACGAGTACGTCTATGTAGATATGTACAATAAATGTAACGATGTTATAATCTGTGTATAAACGAACGATCATCGGTTTACCGTTTTTACGCGGGAAAGTATGACTGCCGGCTTCTCGACCTACGAAACGCAATCGATATATGCGAGAACATAACCTTCATTCGATCCTATACTGCCCGAACATATTTTATTTTAATAATAACGAAGTGTTGCATGTACCAAGTAACGAAATTGTAAATTCTCAACATTATAGAAAGCTGAACATCAGAGTGTTGAAGTTATTCGTGATGCAATCGGTTAGGGGATGATACCTCGTGAAAAATCGTCGAGTTTCTTCGGTTTCGAGATAATTTATTGGGTACGCGTGCAATAGAGCTCGACTTGAATATAAGTACAAGTAGAAATGATAGAAGTAGTAATCGATCTCGCGTATATTCGTGTCAACCACAAATCTACTTCTTCGATCGAGTGATTTACTGCAATTGCAACGAAATAAAAAAGAGAACAATCACTCGAGTGTCGGGGGTGTCGTAGATATTTTACGTTGCACGATAGGTCCCATACAAGAAAGAAGGAAACGTATAAAAAGTTGCATATTTTATTACGAAAATCAAAAATTTCATCATCAATATATATCTATTTATTAATTACATAAACGATGCATTAATGTTTAAATTACTTAGAACTTTCCGTTCCGGAATATTCAGATGCTGAACGTACGCTGGGAAACAATGGTGGGTCGAGAAGTTCAACAAGAAGTCTCGTAAATATTGGCTAAGGTTCAGATGATAAATGGAATCTTGCAACAACTCCGGGTCGTCCTCGTCTTCCTCCGCTTCGTTCACAGCTTCCTCCAATACTGGCAGACAATATGGATACTAATCGTATTGTAATTTTCTGAATCGCAGATCGAACAACGCTCGAACCATACTCACGTAACATGGTTTCGTAGCCCGGGTCCAGGAAAGCGTTCTCGTCGTCCCCCTCCTCGTCGTCTTCGGATTCCTGCGCGTTAAACGTTAGTTACTTTTTATGCTTGCTCTCTGCCAACTGTAAAATAAATGTTGGATCGTTACTAACGCCAGAGTCCTGATTCGCGGCAACTGCTTCGATGTCGTTCGCTAGCTCGTTGATGATCAACTTGAATATCTTTGCCAGAACTGGTATCGTGGTCCACTGATAAGGCTGTGATTCGGCTTTGCTCCTAGTTCTCACGCCTTCTTGTCCTGCGTGTAATTACTAATTTACAATTAACCCCTTAACCTACAACTACGTGTGAGACACGTAGTCTTCTATTCGGACCAAAACTGATTACCACGAGCCTGGCTCGTAGTACATCGGTCGGGCCAAATGTAAATACTACGGGCATGGCTCGTGGTACATCGTGCGCGTTTAGTACAACGCGAAATGACTCGAAGGCTGCGCGATCTTGTTGAGGCTTTGGGCCCAGGCTGTTGAAACATAAATCGTAGGTTAAGGGGTTAACAGCTCGCTGGTTCTTGGAATAAATATTTTATCGATACCTATAACACTCGGGAGCATAAAGTATCACCCTCTCTATGAAAAATATCGTTAACCCCTTAGCATACAATGGCGTCTCAGAGACGTGATAAGTTTACCGAGCCAAACGTTGGTTTTTGGCGCGCACAGTTGGAAATTAAGGAGGCAGTCTGGCACAGAATTTTATGAAAACCTTATTGACACTCGAATAAATATTTGAAGTAGAAGCGCGAAGATGCATAAATATCCAGGTCAGAAGCAATAGGACTCGCGATGATAATACAGCACGCAAACCTGTGTATATCTCGTCACCCTTGACGGTGATTTCGTTCAGCCTGCTATCGCCGTGCGTAACACCGTACTCCAATATCTTGCAAAGCGCGACTGTCGCCACCTTGCGGTCGTATCTGCCGAAGAACAGATGCTGTCTGCTCACCCACTCGGCGAGAACGAACGCGAGGGCACTCTGCCCCGTGGGGCCAGGCACGGTGGACAGAAAGTTCAGAGCGGCGTCGAACTCTGTGTTTATTAAATGAGCATATATCATGAGCAGACTCTGTACAACGGTCAACGTCTCCGCCCGTTGCATTTTGCTCAGCACGGCCTTCAGTAACAAATCCAGATTCTCGCCCAAGGTGTTGCCCGCTCTCCTGATCAACGTTGTCACCAGTCGGCCGACAAAAGTGGCGGTGAACTCGCTCGACTGCAAAATGGTACAAGTTGAACATCGAGCATTATCGACAGGTATGCAAAGACGTGTCTACCTGTGGGTTAAGGAGCTGAGCGACTATCTGCAGTATGTACTGCAGGCCAGTTTGCCCGTCGTTGTCTCGATGCACAGTAACTTGTCGCGCCGCGACGGACAAGTATGTGCGTATCACTTCACCGCCGCTCTGCAGCGTTTCGTTGTCCTCTGAATTAAGAATACAATGGCACGCGGCGGGGAAAGCAGTCTCGACCAGCGCACTGCTCAACGGCCTCGGTGAATATTGCACTAGAACTTGTAGAACGTCCAAGGCAACGTCTCGACATTTCTCTGTACAAATCAATGGCATACACGTTAAAATCGACACGTGTCTGGCATAGAGAATCATCGAGACCTTGATAAAAACTCTAAATGAAACATTACCATCCTTCGATTTATCCGTGGGTGTAATGGCCATCATGCTGGTTAACGTGGGTATCAAACGAGTCTGTAGCGGCCCTATGCAGTCAGGATTTTGCGTCAGATTCTTGAACAAATCTTGACATATGTCCAGTATCATTGGATCGCTATAGAATTTCAAGAACACGGCTATAGTTAACGGGCAAATTTTACTTTCCACCGAAGCGGTGAACGCTTTATCCAGCTGCAAAGATAACAGGGGAAAGCTCGGTGTAAAATAAAGTATTGAGAAAGATGGAGGTGTTGTGCTCGAAGATCGACATTACCGTGACCAACTCTTGGAGCGTTTCCATAACTAAAGTTAGAATCTCCGTGGACGGTTGGCTGGCGAAATTAAAGAGACCTTGAAATATGTTCGGTAAATGGGATCGTATGATATTGCCGATAGTGCTGCTTGTTTCCGTGGCTGACGCTTTGCAGAACCAATCGATGGCTTTCACCGCGCTGATACGGATACAAGCAGGCTGATTCTCTTGCAAGCCATTTACCGTCGCTTCCAAAAATCGCGAACTCATTTCTGGCGGCATTATCTCGGCGTATTTCCCACCGACGCACAAACAACGACCAAGAAGTAACGGCGGCGCCTCTAAAATTATGCACGCATGAAAACAATTGAACGGATACACCGGATAATCCGCCGTCTTCTCGATATACCTAAATCATTCAAAGTAGCTAAAACAACGGTATCTAAAAATCCAATAATGTCGAACTGAAGCATGCCAGCCTTGTGCTTCTCCACGACAGCGTCCTTTACTTTACTTAAGGCCAAAATGGAAGATTCGCGCAGTTTCCACCATGTCTCGTTTTTGCTTCCGTCGTTTGCACTTTGCAATCTGCTTGTTGCCTCGATATGACGCGTGACCACTTCGCAAAGAGCATTCACCGCCTTTTCCTCGGAATAATTTACAAGAGCCTACGACACAAAGTTAAATTAAAATGGTTTAATATTCGCCAAGAAAATTTATGTGTTCTATCAGTAATACCCACCGTTAATAGTTCTTGCGCAGAGATACGAACGTTGTAGGCGTACACGTCCTCTTCCTCGACGAACTGATTGGGACTAGTTGTCCACAATTCAATTTGGTCTTCGGTTATTTGCATAAAAATTATTAGATAATACATCACTTCTTGCAGTAAATTGTCTAAGAGGTTCGAGAATCGTTTGTGATCCACGATAGAGTGAACGAATTCAAATATCGCGATAATCAGATTGCTGAAATTAATTATTTCGCCTAGAAAAGAACGAAAGAGTGTTTCAAATAGTTATTCGATGCAGGTGAATTACTTCGAAACGCGATACCCACCGTCCGAATCGACTTCTTTGTCGTTCTCTTCTCTGTCGCTGTTCACGATTCCTTCCTGATAAATTTTCGCGCTTTGCGTTAAGGTCTCCCAAATGGGCGGCAACATCTGCGGTAAAAAGCTAGACACGTACTTGGGTAGCTTGGTAACAAGGCAATTTATAGCTTTGATAACGTCGGTTTTAAGCCCACTGTCGCTGCTCGAGCCATCAGGCACTCTTAAACATTGAACGAACTTTTCGCAAAACATAGGAATGACCGGTTGCAGATATTGTTCTGTAAATCCTTTCTGATACACTCCTGTGGCAGCTACCAATGACGTGATTGTAGTAAATATTTCGACGGCGCGACCGCGGGTCCTAATGTTATATTGCTAAAACATACATCACGATTATTATAACGAAAACAATTACTACTAAACAATACCTACATTTTCGCTTTGAAATATTCTGTACATTTCTTGTAAAATGACCGGACCCACGTTGGGTAACTGATTATCGGTCAGGTCGGACGTAAATTCTGTTAAAACTCTCATTGCTCCATGAACAGCATGCTCGCTTTCGCCGCTTAAACAACTTACAAGTATATCAAACAAACCTGGCCAATTCTCTGGCCAATCCCAATGCGCGATGGCCGATATTGCATAAGCCACTGCTGTACGTACCTGAAACAAATAAAGAGGACGTTCGCTATAAATGAAGTTCATAATATAAGCAAATATTACTGATATTTAATTACCTTACTGATAGATTCTCTAAGACCTAGTGGCAATAATTCTTTGATTTTTTCTTTCGTCGCGTGTTTTATTTCAGGCGGGCGGAATTTTTCAGCCATAGAAGACCAGTGCGTTTCAACATATTGCTTTAGTAATACAGAAGCCAATTGTCTAATAGGTAAATGTCCATTGGGATCTACCACAAACTCCGTTAAATGTATACCAAACTCTTCTGTAACTTCTAACGCTTGAATTCTTTGCTCCGCTGCCTGACGAGTCTCTCTATGCGGAGAGAGAATTCCAGTTAATGTTTCGTACAAAGCCTCTCTCAAAGAGCCTTGCACATCGGATCCCATTGCACTCATTATAGTAAACTTTTACTACTTTACTTTGCACCTATCGTAAAACAAAATTCAATTAAAATTCAAACAACATTTCATTCTCATTTCCAAATTATTTATTTACCCGAATGCATATCCCTAACGTCTGCTTCTCATGCTATAGTTTTACCGATACGTCTTTTAACATTACCAGCTATATAGTATTTTTTTTTTAACAACTTCCCTGTAATTAAAATCATAAAACCAGATTAAAAAAAAACGATAAAGTGTATCAAGCAAAACAGAATTTGAACATTTAAAGTTATTGTACAATAGTCGCGTGATTTAAATCATTTAAATCTGTAATTTTGTACGAGATCAACGAGATAACGATAAGTAAATTATATTAATTCCATAAAATATGAAATAGAAATGAAAGTCGAGTATTAATATTCTACTTTATATTCGTCACAACTTGGTTGAACCGGCTCGATGAAATGGCAAAGTAGGTTAGAGGAACGTGTCGGAAAAAATCGAACGTTTCTTGTCAATATCATTAAGCACGCTTATTCGTACAATCTCGTTTGAATGGAACTTTCTCCGTAAAAATAAATTATATTTCCTATCGATGGTTTCGAATTCCTTTTAACGAAAAATAAATACGGTACAGAGTTCTGACAAGAACGCCACGATCACGACACACATGTGTATATACATAAGATCAAATAAGGCACTATGCGTTAGCATATTGTCTCCAAAACGATACGAAAGAATACCAATTGCAGATTTCAAGAAAAATAAAAAAAAGTACTTTGCCATTTTGTGATCCGAGATCTCATTTTCAGATCACAAACAGATTATAAGATTTCGAGATTTAATTATCGAGGCCACGCTGTTCAACCTCCGATCAACGCAGTACGCAAAGTACTACCATATTTTCACTATTGGAAATAAAAGAAATATTGCTCATAAATTAAATTTATTTATATAAACGTGCTATCGAGATTTCGAGGCGTCGTTCGGTATTTGGGAAAGGTATATTAAAATACATTAACACAAGTACTGTTTAAGTTATTGATAAACCATCTTTTTATTTCAGTTTCTTTCTGTTTTTCTCGTGTCTCATTCGATTTACAATTTATGAAACAGTGTAAATGCAACATGTGTGTCAAAGATCGCGTGTATGTATACACACAAACAACACTGATATTATACTTTTACTAACACCAATTAAATTGGTGCCTATAATGGTTTATTAATGTATTTCATAGTAAAAATAATTTAAAATTAAAAAAATAATTTAATCCCTAAATCTTTCTTTAGACCATTTGAACTAGTTGTGACATGTACACTAGCTACATGTGTAACATTTAACGAACGTCGATCGCTAGAATTAATAATCCACGTGTGAGAATCAGCAACCGGACGTTTACGGTATATTATAATATAGAAAAAGATTAATGTCAGAAGAAATTAATCATTCTGTTAAAACAAATTAAAAATTATATAACAATTTGCTCCGTAAAAACGACTCGTTAACAAAATCAGCAGTGCTTGGTCCTGCAATAGTGATACTATTGGCAGTAATTAAATTTGTCCATAAACCTTATATTTCCTGGATATCATTACACTGAAATATCCTCAGCCTTTTCCCCGGTCAATTTCATTAAGTCGGAATGAATTCTAAAATGTAATCTCGATTCTAATGGATATCCAGTAAAGTTTTTTCTGCAATAGAAACAATCACAATTATATTGCCCATTAGCGCGCATAAACATTTAAAAAGTTCGATAACAAATTAATTACTTAGCATCTTCCAGAAATCCAATAGCAAGTTGAATGTTTCCTTGATCTTGTGCCAACAAAGCTAACTCTACTGTTGCGTAAGGAAGTATATAGGTGTCCTCTTTAATTAATTTATCCAACCTGAGAACACGTGTTAAACAATCCTCGGCTAACAAAGGATGTTTCATCTGCCGTAAACAAGCGCCCTTTAGAAGCAACAAGAGCGCTTCGTTATCCGTATGAAACTCAGTTTTCCTAAAAAGCAGCCACATTAATACGTGCACGTAATATCAAAGGACGGAATCGATCGGAAAAGACTCACGACATTTTCGTTAGTTCCTTCTCAGCCTCTTCTACCAATTTAAATATATTTAATATTAAATCTTGACGTTTGCCAACTATTCGGAATAAGTTCCACACGTACATAAGTTCAAATACAGGAAGGACTAGATTTTTTTTCTGAGCAAAATAACGTTCGGTTTTTTTAATTACAAACTTCTCCATCGGCAATGACTTTCCCGCTATGCGTTGTTTAAGCGTAGGCGCTTGCATCATTAAAGTATCTATCAGCTGTTTCTCTTCGCTTTTAGACGGTGGTTTCTGCATGATAAGTATAGCGGCTTTCTGATACAAATAAATGGTACGCGACCAGTTCGATTCGTCGGCCAACGTGCTAGCGAACGTTGCGGCCCGACTCCATTGCTGCAGAGAACAATGCGCCCACATCATTTCCCAAAAACAAAGGTGATGAAATTGAGGCCATAACTCTTGGCTCTTCCAGGACTTGGTATACCATTCTATGGAATTCTCAAAATTTCCTCTTGCCAATTCTAACCGGCCCTTGAAAAACAAAAACCAAACGCCGTTCGGATAAAGGCTTAATTCCTCTTCTAAAACTTTTTCGCACCAGCCAAGATCACCGTCTGTGTGACTCAGCACGAAAGATACTATCAGGTTGTAAGATAAAAGAATCATCGCGCACAACACGTGCCTCAGCCCTCTTCTTTCTCTGTATCCTGCTTCTAATTCCGATAAACCATACTCCTGTTGATAAAACCAACATCATGTTATCGCATAATAAACTTATACGCACAACTGTTTCAGTACCTTGTTGCCAGAAAATCCAATAAACTCTAACAGTTTAATAATTTTCGCAGGTAACAGTGAAATCATCTGAAAACAATACCGAGCAGTTATCGCACCATAAATGGCGACTAACTTCATGGAACGAAGGTAATATTATGTACGAACCAAATTAAATGCTCCGATTCCCGTGCGAACGCCGCTTTCGAAATGTATTTTATGAGCATCATTCTCCCACTTACGGCTATTTAAAATTGTTAAACATTCCCTGAAGAAAGATAACATACATAGAGCAAAAGCACAATTACTCGACGAAATATTTTAATGGATAATTCTCTCGGTATGATTTGATTTACTTATACGACAGAAAGCAGGTACGAATTTTCAATCCAGCTTTAACGAAGCTGACCAGAGTTTCATCTTCCACGAACGTGAGCATCGATTTTAAAAGGAGTGACTCGGCATAACAGAGCTCCGCATGCACTTCCTCTGTAACATTAATTTTCCATCATTCGTTCGTACTTTATGCTCGGTAATAATACCGGTGCACGATGTCGTTAAAGTGGGAGTAATTACTTAATTAGCTACCAACGCCGTAAACATGACAAGAGATTCTAGATATACTCGTATAAACACGTGTCTCCTATTAAATTACGCATACAAATACTTGCAAAAGACAAGTTATCCATTATACCGGGCAACGAACATAACTTGATCCGAATTATTTCCGTTACTACTAAATCAAGTTGCGTTGCGTACGCGATGTATTTTAGGAATTGCTGAGAGTATCAGAATACTGCATGGTTCTCGATAAATATCGTTCGACCGATCGTGCATTTTATACAGAAAGCAACAGATAGCTCGATTAAACATGCTGCATCATGCAATGTACTTATTACATGTACACGAACCAATTGTATAATTATCGTAATTAGTCTTCTTGACCATTTTGCCAATATTTTGCGTTAGCGTAACGTGTTTACGTTGCTTCAAGCATACGCTCATACATTGTTTCACGGCTGCGGCTGCTTTTTCAATGTATTTCTGTAACACAGATTACAGTAGATCATTGAAACGAAATATTTCAAAAATATTGTAATTTATTGTGATTTATTACTTGTTCGAATGTAAGAATGGCTTCGAGAAATGCAAATACACTCGTTCCTAAAGAATGATACATGCTCCTGTCTGCCCATGGTGCCATAATTTTTCTTGCTTCCTCGAAATCATTGTTGAAAAAGCAATGTATTGCTTTCCTTGCTTCCATTATTGCTGTATCCAGATCCATGGTGGTAGGTCTGCAAAGTACAAGTAATATTTAACATGTGAATACATACGTGTATATATATGTATTGTACACATATTGTCAACCGTACTTACTCCGGTATGGACTCATGAGCATCTTGAAACTGAAATGTGAATAAAATCAAGATTTTGTACAATCATAGGATAGTTGATATTAATGATAAAAATAACTTGTTTGACATTATGTGCGTATACATACCTCATCTTCTTCAATGTCCGACATTTTAGATTAGTGTTTATAAAATGCCTGAAAAAAATAATCATGTGTATAAATTCTTCTATTTAATGGCATTTGATAATATGTAACAATCTGTATTTACGTAAGTACAACACATACAAAATATCTTCACACTTAGGAAGAGTTACTTATATACAATTAAGGCATTTTCTAGCAGATCTTTTTATTCTGAAGAAATGTTAATTATTTGTAGGTGAAAGTTATTCTTGAAGGCAGATTTCTCAAGTGTGCTCCTTCAATATCAGGTCATTATTACTCTAGTTTTCTATTGAAATCACATTTCATAGAGTTGATAAATAAATTAAATTTTTACCAATGTACTTATCCATATGATACAATGAAATCAATTGTATTAATTTTTTTCATATTGACTGAGATTATGGATTAATGATTAATGGTATCAGTGATACAATAAAGATAAAATTGCTTTTCAATAATAAATAAAAACTTCAAAACTAAGACCAAAGATAGAAACATATTAATTTTTAACAAGAAATAATAATAATAAATACACGAATATTAAATACATAAAATATCGAATAGATGAGAAACACTTACGTTTGTACGATTACGAATTTATTATACGGAATAAGAAAATCGGCTGCGAGGCGTAAAGAACCCGGAAACGATCTGAAGTAGAGTGTTACGAAGAAAGTATAATTGAGTTAACGCGGCGATGCGATAGACCTAGATCTCGCCAGTAAAGAGAAAATCACTGATTGCACGATAAAAAAAAATATTGATTGAATTGAACGATCGGCCCATTCAATGACTGGTATATATTAAACTAATATGACGTATGATTTACAGAAGTCCTCCATTGAAATCGAACGAGTCGTTTTATTTACAAACTTACCATTAATCCAACAAACGTCAAACAGCAAAGGGATCGATTTACGGAAAAAACTGAAACTAACGTCTACGCGTAGTCATTTCTAAATAACGCGATTCGATTCTAAATGCGTACACTGCGGAACAGAAGCGATTATGTGCTTCCTTACATATTTTCGCTTAACATTGGCTAGAATTCTTTAAATACACCGCTGCAAACGTGACAGTGTAGAACGCACGCGATCGACTAACGAAGCAGCGATGTCAAACACAGCCGAGCCCTCCGTGCAGTGCACTCGGTCGTCACTGACCACCAATGCAGAGATGCCAGACGTAGCATCGGGTGCACCGGGGACACCTCATTCCACTTTCTCACACTATGCCAGATCACGCGTACGTGAGCTCGTACAGCGTTCGGAAAATCGACAAAGGCAAACTGACATATGCTCTCTTTCTCGATTCTCCGAAGCTACCCGAAGTAATTTCTCGTTCTTGAACACTTGAGTTCGACCTCCCGTCAACGTCATACGATTTGGAATCTCGAGTCGAGATTCTCGACTGCCCAGGCATTTTACTTTCCAACTTTTGTATGTAGACGCGCATAAGCAAAGTACCCCTAATGAAAACAAAATTTTCTGAAATTTTCTTTACGGAAATGCACGTTTTAAAACCCCCTGATCATATTTGAATTATTGAGAGAAACGGAATTCTTTTATATTATTCTTATGTATGAGTGTACGTATGTATATTATTTCAGATATCACTTCTGATATATCTGGCAACGTATAACCATTACTACTAGCTACTGCCAGCCTCTGCTGGCCTCTACTAACCTCTGCCAGCACGTGCGGGCCTCTGCCTGCCTCCGCTGGCCCCTGCTGACCCCTGCTGACCACACCTGATACTTCCGACAACGTATAACAATTACGACTTACTTTTGCCAACCTCCGCTGGCCTCCGCTGACCACTGCTGACCACCCCTGATGCTTCCGACAACGTATAACGATTACAACTTGCCACTGCTTGCCCCTTCTGGCTTCTGCTGACCCCTGCTGACCCCTGCTGACCACTGCTGGCCACTGCTGGCCTTTGTTAACAACTTCTGACATGATATATATGTATTAAAACATTGTATAATGTAAATCTATGGCAATAAATGATATAATTACAAAGAATTCTATGTGTTCTCATCATTTTTTACCTTTCTTTTCCTCTCCAAATCATTACCTTAGTTATAAGACTCCCTGGAACTCCTTGGTTTCCCTGAACCCACTAGGAAGTCCTGAAACACCTCGGAAGTCCTGAAACACCTCGGAAGTCCTGAAACTCAGAACTTTGCTAAAAATTCAGGGTTTCCAAGAAATTCCAGGACTTTCCAGCTGTTTCAGGACTTTCCGACCGGTTCGGGATTTCCAAAATTAAAAGTCGTTTCAGGGATTTCCAGCTGTTTCAGGACTTTCCAAGCTGTTTCAGGACTTTCCAGCTGTTTCAGGGCTTTCCAACCGGTTCGGGATTTCCAAAATTAAAAGTCGTTTCGGGGCTTTCCAGCTGTTTCAGGACTTTCCAAGCTGTTTCAGGACTTTCCAAGCTGTTTCAGGACTTTCCAACTGGTTTGGGATTTCCAAAATTAAAAGTCGTTTCAGGGATTTCCAGCTGTTTCAGGGCTTTCAAGCAGTTTCAGGACTTTCCAAGCTGTTTCAGGATTTTCCAGCTGTTTCAGGACTTTCCAGTTGTTTCTTAACTTTTAAAAGTTAATTTTTTATTTTGGCAGCAAGTACGAGAGCTGGACACTTTCTGAATCCAATTTTAACCGGAAAAACGGTCTCTTAAAACTAAGGGAATGATTTGGAGAGGAAAAGAAAGGTAAAAATGATGAGAATACATAGAATTCTTTGAAATTATAACATTTATTGCCATAGATTTACATTATACAAAGCTTTAATACATATACATCATGTCAGAAGTTGCTAACAAAGGCCAACAGTGGTCAACAAGGGTCAGCAGTGGTCAGCAGACATACAGCAAAGTATGTTTAAAACATTATAACTTCTGAACGGATTGAAGGATCTTAATGTTTCACATTGCAAACAACGCGTATTTTGATGAAGTATATGTAGAAATTCTTTATATGTATCTAGAAGTATTCCATTATTCGTACCATATTTATTTTGAAAATTATGTATAATTCTATGTTTCCCAATTTTTGTATTATACATACGTATAAGCAAAGTCCATAATGAATGAAAAATTTTTACGTACATACACGTTTTAAGACCTTCTGATCATGTTTGAAATAGAACAATACTTTGAAAATAAATCGTTTAAATAAACATTCTTTGTTATAAAATTAAAGAATTATTATTTGAAATAATAGAATACTTGGAAAATAAATCGTTTGAAAAGAATTTCTAAGTCTTACTTGATAAACTATATTCAAACGATTTATTTCCAATGGATTATACTCCCGTGTGTCCGTTCGTCGTTAGTAGTGTCGCCGTCGATGTACTAAATTATGCTAGATCTGGTCACATATATGAAAGAACCTAACATAAATTCTAAAGAATTACAAATATTTTTATGGTGAAATATGACTATTTCATTAAGATTCGTGTCGAATAAAATATGGCAAAATTCGCACCTCGTGAAAGCGATAAGTATGTTTTATTGTCTTTTAAACATCATTTTATTACATTCATAAGTAATCATTTATTGCATTAATATTTAGCGAATGATATCGAGTTTATTGTTATCGTCAATTGTTTTCAGGCAAAGAAGCAAAAGCTTTATCATCTTCTGCACAGGAATTAAAACATGAAACGAACCCTGAAAATAATGATTCTCAAACTCAAACTAAACAGTCATCTAACACAGTATCTCTTGAAAAGCACAGATATATTTATCCAGAGTTTTTACCAGACCCAAATCCAATTTATCGCAATATCATGAGAGAAAAATTGGAACGTTTCGATATGTTGGCCAGGAGGTCTGTTATAAATATACCTGAATTTTATGTTGGTTCTGTATTATCAGTAACTTATTCAGAGCCACATGCAACTGGAAAAGTAAATAAATTTGTTGGTATATGTATACAGAGAGAAGGTTGTGGATTAAGAGCTGCGTTTGTTTTGAGGAATATTGTGGACGGGGAAGGTGTAGAAGTACGCTATGATTTGTACGATCCAGCTATCCAAAAAATTGTTTGTTTGAGGTCGATAAAAATTATTTATTTTAAATCAATAGTTTTCAATAAATAGAACGTATATGAATATTTATAACTAATATTTTATGATGTTTGTAGATTGGAGAAAAGATTAGATAAGGAATTGTTTTACCTCAGAGATGCACCACCAGAGTATAGTACATTTCCATTCGACTTGGAAGCAGAATTGGTACCCGAGGGAACACCTGTACCGGTAAATGAAACTAAAGTTCCTCTTAAAGATCAGAAATGGTCGCAAAGGTGGGAGCTTAAAGATTTGAAAGGAGTGAAAGAGTTAGTTATTAACGAAAAACGTCAAAGGAAGGCAAGAGCTTTGGCTAGACCATGGGAGAAATACGATTTGATGAAAACTTACAGGTAAAATTTAATAGTACTAATATTGTACAAGTTCTAATTCACTATCCTAAGATACTATATAGTTATATATGTATAATTTTGATACTTCAACAGAGAAACTATTTCGCAAGAAGAACAAGAAATGATATTTTCCGAACTGCAGACAGAGCTCTGTCAATTAGAAGCAAAGAAGAACATATTGAAACATAAACGTGTATTTACAAGACCAAAGAAAAATGTATAAAATGTTTTTTTTTAAGTTACAAATAAAAATTTGTTTTTTTTCACAATTACATGTATATTACAAAAATTCGGTAAAATGCTATTTTCTCGTCTATTATAATTGCATGTTTGTTTAGATTACGCTTCATATGTATAGCACATAAAAGATGTAGTTACAAATTCTTTTAATGATAAGTTTTGTATTTTATTAGGAAGTGAAAAATATACAATAGAAATTATAAAATTTCAATGATTACACATCATTCTTCAAATATTCTTGTTTGTTGTACAAGGGATCAATTACTTTTTGCGTATTATGTTATCCAAATGAACAGAGAGAAGATAAATATGCGAACATGAAATTAACTAGTTAATAATGCCACATTAATTTCTTTAACCATTTTAATACGGTATAGCATTTTTATAAGATGTTCCTTTGCCAGTGGAGATGTTGAGTACCATACTGGACTATCTGGTACACAACTTCTTTCAGGTAGTAAATAGAACACATCGTTTCGAGTTTTAACGCTTTCCGGGCTAATGTAGCAAGAAAATATATTAATTACTCACGCTGTAACATTTTCTAGAAAGTTTAACTCTACGAATAAAATGAACGTACCACTTGGATAAATAGAATTCGTACAATTTTACTGGACATCTCAACGGATTCTCTTCGTTCTCTTGTTGCTCGTATACCTTCTTTTTACGTGAATTGCCTTCTAGAAAAAAGTCGTGAGTTTGTAATATTTTAATCCTTCCATCGTATCGATCTTTTAATACCAACCCAGTGCCGATTGCGGCGGATAGAAACGAAGAAGGACGTTTCGAGATCCTGGAACTTTTCCCGTTGTCGCAGTAGGTTGTGCAGCAGGATTACGTTTCCAATGTTTCATGATATGAGAAAACGATAACTGCATATGCTCTTCCACCGTCTAAAAGATTGTATAATCGCTAAACTTTTAATGTAATTTTAGTTTCTAAAAGTAAGATTTAGATATTCTAAATATAAGGACGATTACAAAATTGATTCATACATACCACAAGATTAAAATGTTTGGTGTTAAAAAACATAAGAGTACTTAAAAGGACATGAGGAGAATGAGCACCTAATTGTTTACACTCCCATAAATGTTCCTCTTCGACTCTCGTAACAATATATTCTAAAAAAATATACAGGCACGTTAATAAAATTTTTCTAAATCGATAAAAAGATTAATTTACTTACGCGCATCGTTATAAAGAACAGAAAACTTTTTCGCAACTTCGTTTAAACAGTCTGTAAATTTTTCATAATACATATCCGTAAAAATGTTGTCTATTCTATTATTCTCGAATAAATACTGCTGTATGCCTGTAATATGAAATTATGGGTAAAGAACAAACTTTGCTTTTCCAAAGAATATATTCAATTAGTAGATTTACCTAAGCAAAGATAATATATCGTATCAGGAGCGTACTCTGTGCCATTTGGTTTTCTAACTTCTTTCACAAACAGACATAACGAGTAATTTAATTCGTCTGCTGTGAGCTGTAGGAGATCCGTTTTAAATAACTTTATTTTCCTCATCGATGTATTTTGTTTCTCTAGTTCAGCGTTTTTCGCGACTACCTGTTTTTAATAAATAAACGATCCTTAACATCTGCTTTCAATAAAAAATAACAATCGCAATATGTCAAGTTACCCATTGTCTCCACGCGTTTACTCCGAAAGTATATTTGAGTGCCATATTAGCGTCTGGTTTTTCTATGGGCTCTATAATTCTAGGTTGAGGTGGTGGTTGAGGCTCGGGTGGTGGCATCAAAGGCATATCGTTCGCAGTAGATATACGTCTTCCTCGTTTGTTTGGAGTCGACCGTGGCTTATACGGAACAATTCGTTTTCTACCACGAGAAGCAACGATCAATCGTTCTGATTGAACTAAACGTTACAAAAGAAATGCATTATTGTATTATATCTCTGGTAAATACGAATCATGTAATTTTTATTTTTAATGTAGATCTCCCGTGTTACCATCATTTTCCATAGTTGTGTCGGATTGTGCTGACGTTTGCGTAGCGGTAATTGTATTTGGAGTTAAAGCAGCTTCTAAATCAACAGCTGGCTCGTCTAATTCCCCAGTTGCCATTTTTAGAGCCATTTGTAACATATCGTCACCAAACGTGTTACTGGAATCAACTCCTTCCGGGCTAAAACCTCCACTGTGCGTATGATCACGGTCACCAGCATCTTCGTCTCTATAAAAGAGACAAAATACTTGCCAAATAAAATATTACTTATTTTTATTCTGTAATTAACCTTGGCGATAGTTGCATAAATTTACCTATCGTCCGCGGAATCCGAATCACTCTCATTAGCCTTTTTTTCGGTTGCTACCATTTCTGCCATCATAAGAAGTTCAGCTTCGAATGGATCTGCTGGTATTTTTTCCTGTATTCTTTTAATATCTTTAAATATCCCCTTAGCACTATTTCTTGTTGTGGGTATAAAAATAGGGACAGGAATTGGTAATGGAAATGGTAATGGGACTGGAAAAGGCATACTATACATGTGCATTGGATACGGGACATAAATTGGAACCGGTATCGGAACAACCGCATGTTGAACTTCATCCGTTTGCGTGGCTTTTGTACAAGGATGCGGACGCACAGAAACACCTTTCGTGTGCATCGCCGGTTTGCACTGTGTAGTTTTATTGTGAATTTGGATCGGACTCGGTGGCCTCGTTATAATGTGTTGCTTATAAATTACTTGTGGTGCCTGATTTTGGCTGATAGCAACCGAAGGTATTACCATGTTATTTACACTGTTTTGTTGCGTCGTCGGACTGGATTGTCCATTCCCTATTGCGGCTAAACTTGTTACAGAAGATATAACTGGCATAGTCTTTTTATTCTGTATATCACTAACTTTCTGATTGTTTGAATTCGTGCTTCTATGAGGTATCGTCCTTTTAGGCATACCAGTAGGTACAGGATCATCGCCTGCCGGTATCGTGATCGGTGATTTAGTATACTGAGCTTGAAAATTCATTACACAATTATACGAACAAAAGTTTCGTATCGTTGCATCTGACATTGTTAAATGATACTGTGCTTGAGAGAACTCTCTACAAAAGTCACAATTTATCCGTTTAGCCGAGACCGCATTTATCGAGACCTATGTACATTTGGAAATAAAATTTAATTGAATTTTATTTTCGGTATCGTCTATTATTAATACATAAACGCATCATACCTGGTACAGTGTTAAACAATTTAAGCTGCACATCATCATCACTTGACCAGACTTCAATTCCTTTTTTATCATGTCAAAATTATACTTTTTTACCTTACACCAATTACAAGGGACAATTTTCCTATTTGTAATAATAAATATATTTAAACATGTTTTAGAACAAAATGTATGAGCCTCGTTTTCATAAAACACAACAGAACTTTTTTTATGAGGTAATTCAAAAAATTTCTTGCAGGTGGAACATTGATCAGGATCAACTTTTTTTACAAATTTAAATGCTGCAAAACATGGTTCGCTGCAAATAGCTACCGGACCAAATCTATCAACTTGAACTTCACAGTGAACAACCTTCTCCTGTTACAAAGAATGCATTTTTAATTTAACATTCTATATTTCATATTAAAAACATAATAAGTATAAAAAAAAGAAAATACTCTCTTACTTCTTGGCAAACACTGCAACATTTTTTTTCCATGTTTGGGGGCTCGACAGAACTCATTTTTGAATATTTTTCCATACATTCTTGTGTACAGAAATCCTTAAATTGTCCTTTATCACCGACCGGTGCAAGGAAACCTTCTGTACTAGAACTTATATCTTTCTGACAGTATGTACATACTTTCAGTCCTTTCTTGAACTCTTCTAAACACGTGGAACAACAAAATTGTCTAACATCATAGCCAAACCTTACACAATATTTGCCTAAGCTCACTGCCTGTACCGAACCATTGCAATTTCTACAATAACTCCCATATTTTGTTTGAAATTTGCCTAAACATTCTTCGTTACAGAACTCCATCGTTTCCCAAGAGAGATTACGTTCATCGCCGAGTTCGACAATTAACAAACAGTTTGCGCAACGTTTTTCTCTTTTAGAATTTACTCCATCGCTGGGTATATCCACAGCCCTATTATTGGCAGCTTTGAACAACGCCTTACAAGTTTTGGAACAAACATTATAATTATCAAAACCAATTTTTACTTTTATTTTGCATGACCTTTCCTCGTTACATTGTTTACAAATTTCTTTAGTTGTGATTTCTTCAATTTCAGAATTTTTTGACTCTTCATCTATATTAATAACATCTGTAGTTGTAAGCGAAACATTATTAACCGAATCTTTTTCCTTTTGAACATTTTCAATATCTTTTGAACTACTTTCATCTCCAATTTGTATTTCTTTTATTTCTTTTATTTCCTTATTAGTATTGATATCTAATTCATTATCTTGACAACTTTGTATAACTTTATCATGTTCGCAATTAATTTCTGGCAAAGATTTGTTATTATTAGAGTTTGACTTTTCTGTTTGTCCAGGAATTATTACTTTCATACTATCTGGGATAATACACAATTCATCATCTTGTCCTGGTAACACGGTAGACTGTTCTTCAGTATCTATTGGTGTTATTTCATCAAGAGGTTTTTCTATACTATCACTACACTTTTCAGTTGATCCTGCAACTTCTGTTTTATTTAAATTTTTATTTTCTTCTACCTCTGCTGTACTGTCGCTACAATTCTTATCAACATTTTCTATCGCATTTAAAGGCTCTACTGTATTGATAGAAACATCTTTGTTTTCTTTGTTATCTTTTTTATTACTACTAAAATTGCTCTCCCTTGCATTCACGACATCTTGTAGATTGTCGGCCTGGCTACATAATTTAGAAAAACCTACATCAGTTTCATTGAGATCATCTGTGTCCATTGGTTCAACATTTTCAGCATTAAGAGTATCACCGCCAAAAGGATCTTCCGCGTCGATGGACTGATTTTCAATTTGTGCATCACCATGTTTCTCTTGAGAGAACTGTACAAACTCTGTATTTTCTGGTTCCACTATATTCTTTTCTGACATATCTTTATCACAACCTTCCGATATTCCTTCCGAGTCAGTCTTCTTATTATTTGAATGATCTCTTTCATCGATAAGCAATTGCACTTTGTCTGGTTGAAAATCGTTTACAACATTGCCATCAATTTCTTTCCCTGTTAAGTTTAAATTGCACGTATCGTCTGTACTGATACTCTTTGAACTTTGCGTTTCCGGTTCTTCTACTACATTTTTTGAATCTGCCTCCGATTCTATACATTCTACTGTATTTGAACTACTTAACAAATTAACCGTGTCATTTTTTTCCACAATGCTAGATGTTGTCAATGTTGTTCCTGTACTTTCTTCCTGCAAATCAGTTTTTGGGACATCTGTATGTAAACTTTCCGATTGTATGTCATTACAATCTGTCGATGTAACATTTATGTTGCTATCATGTAAATTGCTCTTCGAAATATTTTCTTCCGACGATTTGGTATTTGATACTTCTATACTTTCTGAATTCCCTTCAGATAATCTTTGTTGTACTTCATTTTCTGTACTAATCGCTTTTTCATTCGTTTGACATGTATCAACAATTACTTTGTCCTTGAGAATAGATGAATCTTGCGGTGTTTCTTCTGTATTAATATTTATTTCTTTATTTTGATTAATTGAACTTTTAGTTTTCTCTTCATTTTCTATGGATGAATCCTGGTCAGTTTTATCCGTTGTGTCCATTGATAATTCTATATCAATTTTGGGATCCATAGTCATTCATATGCTTACATATACCTAAAAATATATAAATAAAATGTTAAAGGATCAATTCAAAATGTATATATATTTCTAAAATGATTTCAAACGCATGATGAACATTTTTGGAACGTATCAAAAAGAATTATCAATCATAAACAGATGAAATATCTCATTCACTTAACATACCTATATTGGATAAGTTCAATGTAAATAATAGAAGGAAATATTTCAATTTAATATGAGTACTATGTAGAACTTAAGCATAAAAATACAATAAATTAATTACAATTAAGATAGAAATACCAGGTCACAAGAAGAAACAATGAAACATTTCCCCAAAACAATTGACACTATTTTTTTTCACCAGTATAATTGATCACTGTATGGAAAATTGAGGTTATCGCAAAAAGTAGCTTCGCTTCGCCATGTTGCATTTTATACTTGTGATTTAATCAAGCTGACAGTAAAAGCAAAACATAAATAAAGGGAGATAGAAAATGATTGTATTTACGTTCCTTAATAATTGGCGGTAATACCTCATGAACATAGAAGAAGCCAATCGATACAAATTTATTGGCTCAAAATGAAACATTGCGCACAGTTTAAAATTTTATATCGGTCAAGAGCACCAAAATATATTTGAAACCATGCAACACACTTAAGTTATTAGATACAGAGGAATAAATATCACCTTTTAATTTCAATGCTAAACAGCACTTAAGTCTCACAATTTTTATAATTAAAATTACAAATCCGTACTCATCGTAGAAACATAACAGCCGTGGCGGCAATCTGCGTACACTACCAACATATGATCATAATCTCTTATTTGGATCAAACTAAATAAAGCTGCGTTTTCATAACAACTACGTTGTCAACATTATTTATATAATCTTTTACTAGTTCTCAATATACTGCACAAATATCCGGAATAAATACAGCAACTAATCGAACAGCATCGCAACTGATTCGGCAATGTTATTAGACCTTAATTTTATTGTGATTAACAAAAAATTGAAACATTTGAAGTTTGTACAAAATTCACTATGCATGCGATTGTTTTTTGTATTCGTTTAATTTCGATATTGCACGTATTTGACAGCGGTAAAATAAACAGTTTTGCTTTGTTCATTATACAAATCGCATAGAATAAATAAAAAAAAAAAACGTACATCAATATCACTTTTAATGGTAACTTAAAAAAAAAGTACGTTTATATTACTTGAAATTTAATGAAAATTTTTTAAATTATTGTTCCAGCTTCTGTACTAACTTAACCATTTGAACTTCACTAAATCAAGTTTATTTTACCGTTCGAGTCAAGTAGTTTATATTTCTTTTTTTGTAATCAAAGTATTATTGGATCGTGTAATAAACTCGAGAAATTACGAGAAAAATATGTAAATTGAACAATAATTATAACGATTCAAGACAGTGTAGGAGTTTTAAATCGAGTTCATCGAGAAAATTCTTTAATTGTGTTTTTCGCTCTAGATCGGTGGGATGAGATTTGTGGTCGAATTCGTTGGTCTTGCAAAATTGCTTTTAAACGGTTAAAAGTTTTTGAGCGCATGCCCCCCGATCGTGTGTATTGGTTAAATGTGAATTTGCCTCTGTTGTTAGTTTAATCGTGACGTATATGTGTGTTCTCGTGCGTAAATTGACGAGTTATGTAGCAAGCGTGAAATATTTATCGGTAGGGAATAAAAACAGAGAATACGCATATACGGTTGGGAAGATTTCCACGATAGGAAAAGTGTGTATAGCGACGAAAGTGTGGAAGAAAAAAAGGGAACAAGGGAGGAAGTTAGTATGTAAGAGGTGTTTTTTTTTTACAATTTTTGAAAGATCCTGTGCGAAGATATTTGTTAGATAGATCTTAGGTGATACGTTTCGTGTGCACGTTTATTTCGATAAATTTCCTGCGCGTTCCATTCTGCTGTAACGAAAAAGGAGCGTACGCGACCCTTCGAGGACGCGTTGTCGATCATTGTAACAGTGGAAGCTTTAGAAAATGGCCGACAATTGGACACGGAACGTCGTTTGCCGGTAAGAAACTGTCCTTTTGTCGTTTCCCAATGTGTTTCGGTGACAACGCGAGATCGGCGAAAAGATGAAACGCATGTTTCGCCGTAGAATGATATTTTGTAACATGTCAACGAAATACACAGTTCAAAATATCGATACATCTTTGATCGCATGTATTACGATTTCAATAAATTTCTATTCTGCTTATTAACTCTGTTGATTGAACAAGAATTTCGATTTATACGCGAGCTATATGTACATGCATCTGTGGATCTATTCCAGCGTAAATAGCTGATAAATTTCTAATTTAATGTTAACGATTATTCTTACAAGTTTATTCCTTTGTTTGTAGTTATTTCAAAAATGGTATGTGCCGCGAAGGAAATAATTGCAGGTATCGCCATAGTCAAGGATTAAGAGATGATGGGAGTACCAATGAAACAGTAATATCTTCGCCTGTCCCACCTGTTAACACAGTTTGTCGCTTTTTTAAGCATGGAATTTGTAAATTCGGAAGTCAGTGCCATTTTCGTCATATTACCGAAACGGCTGATAATAATTCGGTGAATGCAGATTCAATAGATAGTTCATCACCTGAGCAACATGCTTCAACTACTTCAACTTTGACAACAATAAAAAATGTGTATGTTGTCATCAGGTGACATTGTAGTTCAGCAAGAATTAAGTTGTAATACCATTTGCATATCACGTAATACGTTGTAATATGGTATATAAAAATATGTGATATATACGTATATAATAATTAAGATAATCAAAGGTATGATGTGTTAAAACATATGTATATGCTTTTAGTAAAGAAAATACCCATGTAGCCGAAGAATGGGTAAAGGCAGCTGAATTTGTACCTTCGTCCATTGCCAGTTCATCCACAGCGAATGAAGCATCTACTGCTTCGGGAATATCTACAAGCTCTTCGCTGCCAATATCATATGCTCAAGCTTTAAGTCCATCTGGTCAGGCATCCAGTCCATCTTTAGAACCTTTATGTCTATATGCAGTAACAACTGGATTTTGTAAAAAACGTAATTGTACATATTTACATGGAGATATTTGTGAATTGTGCAATCGTGCCACGCTTCATCCACATAACGAAGAACTTCGAAAAAAGCATACAAATGTAATTATACATGTTACATTGATCGTTTACATAATTATGAATCGATATTTTATTATTTATATATATTTTTTAGGCATGCGTCAAACAGCACGAAGTAGACATGGAACTTTCTTTTGCTATTCAACGTAGCAGAGAAAAGTCTTGTGGAATATGTTTTGAGATAGTAATGGAAAAGTCTTCTGGTGAACAGAGATTCGGTATTTTACCAAAATGCAATCATTGCTTTTGTCTAAGTTGTATTAGAAAATGGAGAAAAGCTAAACAATTTGACAATAAAATTATTAGAGCTTGTCCAGAATGCCGTGTCAGTTCTGACTTTGTATGTCCAAGTATGTATTGGGTAGACACAAAAGAAGAGAAAGAAAAGTTAATAATGAACTACAAATGTGCATTAAGGTAGGAAAGAAATAAATATAAATGTAAATATAAATATAGTGCTTAGTTACATTATACTGTTTGTCTATTACAGTACTAAACATTGTAAATATTTCAATAACGGACGTGGTAAATGTCCTTTTGGCAATAAGTGCTTTTACCTACACGCACTGCCCGATGGTACTAAAACAGATGTTGGTCCACCTGTTCGTCAACGACGCAATGCTGATTCGGATATTGGCATTTTTCAGGTGGGTTTAAAATTTATTTATTGCGAGTTGTAGTTTGCCGTGTCTCTTTATTATTAAATATTGATGTTGTACCTTTATTGTAACTACATAACCAGTATAGAAATTCTTTTACAGCGAATGATCTTGTGGGACTACATTGACGGGAGAAATGAGAGTTATACGTACGACGATTATGGCAATGGCTTCTATTCGGACTCGGAAGATTCTGATTGGTCTGAATTTGAACTTCCTTATGATTAATTGTATTAATTCAGTAATCATTACTGCTGTTGCTGTTATCTGTATTATCTATCTCATCCACCACTTATGCGTGGTTTCAGTGGCTGAATAGACAAGTAGTTTATGAATTGTTTGAATGGTTATGGTTCCAAAGGTGTCCTGGCTACGTTGTGCGCTTTGCTTGGTGATGTTTACATGAAATATGTGTAAATGACATCAGGTTGGTAAATAGAAAATAACAATAATAATGAGAAGATTACAGTCGCATGTACAATAATGACAAGATTTTTAATACTACACTGTCACTTTGTAATCACCTTTTTTCGTGTATCTTGACCAATATTCTTACAACTAATATTCAATCATAAGAAGTATGCATCAAATCTTACATCAGTGGTCCAAATTAATTCAATGAATAGAACATATATCAAAATATTTACAATACTCTTTTGCCAACATACAAATTTCATTTATTCACAGTCCTACAATTCTTTTTTTTAACAAGACAAATGAGTAATAAACAATTTTGTTCGGCGATGTTAGATTCAATATTAAAATGAATGTTCTTTATTTCTCCGAGCAGAATAAGTTTACTATTATTGTACAAGTTTTTAAATGAAATTAATTTTATACATATCGTTATTATCTTCATTAATCTTTGGCATTAAACTTAATGCTTGATTAAGAACTTGTTGAATAAAATGGAAAAGTGTTGTCATTTTCCTTACAACGTAATTTTAGTTTTTTCTAGAATAAATTTTAATCTCTATTAGGTACTTATTCTGCAGGTAAAGAAACAACCAAGTCTGATTTTTATTATGTTTACTTGTTACTTGACTTGGCAAATAAAAAAGAATTCATGGGAAACAGTGTTTGATTTATATGTTGCAAGAAATAGTAAATTGTTATTTGTAATAATCAGGGTGTTAATGTATTTGATTATCAGTAATTCATATCGAAGATACAGTTAACGAGTTTCGTCCTACCTCCTGTTACAGCTCTGTGAACATTTAAAAAAATTTCCTTAAATTATTCAACTGTATAGTGTTAGTCTTTAATTAATAGTTTTAAGATATTCGTGATAAATGCGCAAATCGAATGTATCATGTAATAAGTATGTCCGTGTGATAGTATGAAAAATTTGATTGTGTGTGTTACGCTGAATATAACAAAAGGAAACGATTTTTGGCGAATACGCACTAACAGATTGCAGATTTAAAAAGAAGTAACAAATAAAAATTACGTTACAAAATGATAGGTGAACTTTAAAGCAGTATGTGATTTTTATCATTTTGTCTTTTTATTTTATTATTCACTATAGTCGGACACTTTCGATTACTACCTTTTCGGAATCGACGATTCAGTTGTTAAAGACAAATAATTTATTTTATTACCGAATTAAGGTAATTTTATTTCTGTTATGAAACATTCTGTTTGATAAATAGAAATAATAGCCAAACGAGCGTGGTATTAAACTTTTTGATAGAACTATTTGACAAGAATGGTTTTCTAAGGTATTAAAGAATCGCCTTTAACGAGTATTATGTTATAGTCGTTTCAAAGTGTTTTGCGCGTATAAATTTGATCTGTTGCCCATAGCGATAAGAAATATTTTTCTTTTTAAGAGTCTACTCTCAGTGTTGCCTTTCACAAGCGCTTGTATTGTTTATCAATATAAGTTATTCGATATTTTATCAGACAAACTTTCCACGATACCGTATGTAAGTTCTTTATATTTTTTTTTGTAGGATGTCTATACTGTTAATTTTGTAGAGAGCCGTTTTGATTCAGTTTATTGTTATTGCTAACGCTATTTATAAAAATGTTGAAAATATTCTGTATATTGTTGCGCGCACGGTAAATGTCTATTTTGGATTTTTATTCTATCGTTGACAGCCGAGGATGTTAATTATTTAGATGTTTCGCCACAGTTACATAAAAATTATTAAAGCAAAGTTACTGCGTACATATTTTTTCATTATTGATTGAAAAAAGTCGAGGCAGAATTTTATATGTTCAACGCGTTAACAATAAAAATAATGAGGAAACTATATATTTGTCAACACTGGGCATTACACCATTTTAAAATTTTAATTATTTTTAAAGACGTATTTTTTAATTAGCACAGCTTAAAAAAAAAGAAGTAGACATCTCGAGTGCCAAGGAGTCTGATTGCAAGTTTTCAACGATAATTTATTTTAGTTTTAAAGGGGTTGAAAATATTCGTTCATGAAACAAGTTGCGTGTATTATGTAGTTGCGAGTGTACTATACAAATGTATAGAATTAGAATTTTTATATTAAGCAATACGGTGTATAATTGCGAAGTGATTGCATGAGTCATAAACTTTTGAGATCCAATTGCTTGAGCGGTACTAGATATAGAACCATGCATTTTAGGTGTAATTGACCTTGACTTTTACTTCCTATTGTATCGACGAATCTTTTAGATAAGATTCAAGTTATTATATAATTAAAAAAAAAGTTTAACTCTTGTTACGTTATATTGTTTTTATTATATTTTTTTTAATATATATATATATATATATCTTTTAGCAAACAAAGGAAAAGTGGCATTATATAGTAAAATATTGTTCTTATTTTTATTATTCGTTATGTATAAATGTGCTGATTGGAAACAAATATAATTTTTGACTTATCTGATTCGTCGATACACACATGTCTTTCAGATTTTAAACTTGCCCTCAAATTAGGGCGATGTTAATATAAATGGGTGTCCGTTATTGTAAGAAAAGACACTAGAATTAAGAACGTTTTATCGGTTTCTCGTCACAAAAATCAACGCTTTGTTTACAATGTATTTGCATTAGTTATTGTCACTGTTTAAACGTAGAATTTAGTACGATATTTAAGAAGTTTACATCTTTTAAAATACGTGAACCGAGCCTGTAAGAAGAATTTTGCGCGAAACCCTCATTTTTAATCGAAGTAAGATATTTACTGATTGAGGACTTTTCAGAGTAATTAATTAATAAATGTAATTTTGAAATGCTTTGCGTAAATTACGAGCTTGATTCTAAATGCTGCTTATAGCGGCAGCGATGGTTTTTGTGACGGGTTACTGCCCAATGTAATGTGTCTTTCAATCTCAGTGTTAAATTAGGAAGTTATGAGTTAAGATGATTATAAATTAAGTGTAACAGTATAATTTCGCTATACTATTGTGAGAATGCGAAATCATTGCCAAGAATCCGTGTGCTCTGCGTAATTAGAATCATTACCAAGTATAGAAAATTTATAACGCTGTTACAGTTTCAATAATTCGTCTCGCACGTACGAATCTTTAATGGCATTATTTTCAACACTTTGTTGTCTTTCACGGCAAAGGTACATGAACAATGTAAAGCATGTTTGAAAAAAAAAAGTAACAATTATTAAAATTTGTGATTACGATCGGAATAGGTATAATTTTTTGAAAGCATCTCGCGACGATCATTCTCTTGTCCGAGCGTTGAGTAGTACATTTATAGTCATTAATTTGTATATTAGTAAAGCTCAATGATAAAACTAAGTGATACGTATATTGGCTTCAATTTCATTTCTTACGATGATATATATTTTTGTTATTGGAAGTAGATTAATAAAAGGGTAGACTGTAAGAAGTCTATGGACAGAGGCATTCCTAAATTTATCTTTTCTTACGAGTATCCTTTCATATAAAAAAAAATGGCTTCTTTCATTTTGTGCAAAGATATAACATTTCTACACAAAATTCTAGCATCCGTTTTTTTTTTTATATTTCAACAAAACAAAAAATTAACTGCACAGCTAAGCTGCGAGATCAGTGAGCTCGAGTCGTTGAGCGCACTTTAAATGGATTTGAGTTTACAGTACTTTTAACTTTGAAAATTGAATTTGCATTTGTGTGAATGTTAAACTTGAAATAGAAACGAGGAAAATATTTCAAGAAAAATGCAATAAATACAATTTCATTACATTAATATATTCAAAAACGTATATAGATCTCATCTAAATAAATACAAAATATTTTTAACCAAAGCGTCGCAAAGCGTTCGAATCGAAGGCACTCAAAATTAACGAAGTTTTACATATACTTATGTCTTAATATAAACATTGTGCAGTACACTTATTTAAAAAGAAAAAAAAGAAAAAAAAAAACTGTCACATATCTCTATGAATATATAATGATATATTGAAATATATAATTCACAGAATCATTCTGTATCGATGATACTAATTGATATATCTTTTATTCTCTGGTACTTACTATTTTACCAGTCTTATTTTTTTTGCTTTAAATATAATTTCAACTCCCGAAAGAAGTCTTAACGCGTATTAGTAAATGTATTATAAAGTCAATTATAAAAATATTTACTCATACTTTATGTCGTGAACCGAAACAGTCTTTTGATAGTTTGCGATCATGAATTACGTACGCAGTATAACATGTATCTACAACTCTCTCCGGAGTTCGTTTTTTAAACCATTTGATTACTCTTTTAAATGTCTCCACTCGTCTAAGTTAACGCGATTCTATGTCTTATCTAGAATCTCTCCTTGTATAATTTTGATAACAATTTTTCAATAAAATAAGGCACTACTCAGGTCTCGATACGAATGAAGTCGATTCTCAAAACAATTTGGAATGCTACTGGGTCGAATTTTCGAAAAGATGTTACATCTTTTATCACGACCACAACTACATCGTTGATAATATTGGATTAATTATCTCTTAATTAAACAAAGAAGCACAAGGATGTAAAGCACTTGTAATTCGTTTCAGAATATTTTTAGCTATAAAATTTCTACCTCATAGCAGAAATTGTTCCAGTCAATATATCGCATTTCAACCTGTTATAACGAGAGAACAGATTGCGAATATTTGTCTTCCGACAGGTCCAGCCTATCATGTCTATTTCATCTCGACCCCTTAGATTCTCTATGATCCATGTAGAGATAAATAATTATCTTAACGACGCGAGGTACGGCTGACACGTCATCCGTTGAACAGGCTGATAAATTCTTTTTTGAACCGAACTAGCAACCGATCCATTGTGTAAAGTATTCAAAGGATCGGGCTCCCCGTGTACATCCGCGTTCGTTCCGGTACAATGCGCCCCCCGAGAATCATCCTGTGGTTCGTTCGATATATTCTGTCCACCTGTTTCGTTTCTCTTGCGAAACTTGGTAGAGTACTTATAAAAGTCCGACATCTCGAACGGTTTCGTCACCTCTCTATACGGTTGATATTTTCCAGCCTGAACGATCGTGCAATTCTGGGACGATCCTAATCTAATCGTCTCCTCGTTCGTTTCTTGAGACGACTTCGACTCCGCTGGAATCTCGAGCACCTTTTTCCGTGTCTGTTCATATCGAGTCGACAACAACGGTTGCAAATGTTGCTCGGTTTCGGTCGTCATCGCGTCAGTCTTACGATGGCTAGTCAGAGGAATATAATTATTTTTCCCATTTTCGCCGTTGATAACGTTCGATGTTTTGGAGCACGTGGGAAGTGTAGATTGATAATGAATATTTTTATGCGACGTTACCAAACCAATGTCCAATCCAGGACTCGCGCCCGAATCCAAGGAAGTCTCGTACCATTCTTTCTCTCTTCCTTTGCGGCTAACGTTGTCCGTCGTGTCCTTGCTGTCGTGCAGCTCGTGCAGATGATTCGAATGCCATTTCTCCACGCTGCCCAACGATTGCGTACGAAGTAACATTTTATTGCTCGTCGATGATTGCTCGGACAACGGAAGCAAATGGACGGAAGCATTTTGATGAGGGGCGACGCAGGGAGAATTTTTGTTGCATCCTATGGATACTGTACGATACCGCGGTTGCATATCAGTGCCTATACTAACAGTATGTTGCACCGCATTACGCTTCCTTCGATCCAAGCTACCAAATCTATCCGAAACGGATTGATCATCCGTACACCAGACAATTTCATCCTCGTGTCGCATCCAATAACCCGATGGTAATTGCGTCTCACTGGGTGAATCCGCGTATCGTAGATTTTTGCTTCCACCGAAATCACGATCCCGCCTCAGCAACGATTGCGATTGCGAGTTATTTTTATGATAAATTGGAAATTCAGGTATGTGCATGTAATGTAGCGTACGATAATCTCTCTCGTAATAGTCCAGGCCAGATCTTCGTTGAACATCATTGTCCAAGTGTTTGTACTCGGTATATTGTTGATAATTATGAGTCTGCTCCTCGAGCTGTTGTTGCTGAAGTTGACGACACCGTATTTGTCGTTCTTCCTCGGTATATGTATTTGGCAGAGGACGATAAATTCGCTCGTTCTCTTGATAGTGATTCTGGCTACGGGAACCACCGCTCCCGTGAGAATATGTTCGCGTACGATATTGGTCTGGTAATATATAAATATTTTGGTTATCGTTATGATCGTGGTCTATTATTTTGATATTTTGTCGCTGTTCGGATATCGTGGGACAATAAGCACCGACATGATTGTGATTACATGAATTGGGTATCAACGACTGTTCATCGTATCCGTGGCTAGGATACATATTACACTTATCCTCCGATCCTAATGGACTTAAGCTTATTCCACCCTCCTGAAGCAAGCTTCTCGTGACCTTTTGATTTGCGTCATTTGCTACGAAGAAATGTATATTTGAAAGAATATTTAAATATTACAAATGTCTGTTATCAAATATAAGTAATTGCAATACCTGTGCCATTCAAGGGCGGCCGAGGTTTCTTTGTTCTATGTTTTACATTCGTGTATAAATGTGGCTGATTATTGTAAACTGTAGAGTGTTGGACCGGCGTCGAGTGATGCGTCTTACTGCGGCTCTGTCGTATGAAATTTAACCGCGCCTCTAACTCTTGAAGCCTGCGCTGACTTTGCTGATAAACTAATCTGTGTTTACGACGTACTGCCTTGCTCTCCGTAGGATCATTTATGATACCTAAAGCGGCTTCCACTATACCAATTTGAACTTGTCGTTCTAATTCCAAGGCAGACTCCTCCTACGCAAAGAACGAAATAATTTTTCGCATTTTGACAAAGAATATATCTACTCGGATGAGTTCATAATGTACAAGGTGCTGTGGAATTTGTGGTGCATCGAAATTTTTTATTAAAAAATAAACAATGTTCCATTCGGAGAATCGTGCCACAAATTTCACTCCACCCTATATATAATTATGAAACGTACAACTTCATTTGTTTTTAGTTTGTTGATTAAATTCTGCGGGTATGTAAATGCGGTTCCGACTCTTCTTCTAAATATCGGTGGACTTTCTCCAGCCTCTAACGGGATCTCCGGTGGCAGAATACCGGTCAACTCTGCTTCTTCGACGCACAAGTTCTTAAGCTCGTTATTTTTTTGAGTTAACTTTTCTTGTAATGCTTCCCGACGTTGACGAAGCCATTGCAATCTTGTAGACATTGAATCTTCCGTCAAAGATCCAGAGGTACTTTCATTCCCTGCCATCACTTAAAATAGGAATCCATTTATAGTTACAAACTATGATTAAGCTTCTATCGATCGCTACGACGAACCCAAGATTTTAATATGTATATGTATATTCTTTATTTGCTTACCCATATTATTAGCGAAATATGATTTTTGTCACTATACGTGTTTCAATTGAAATGTTTATATAATCGAGGCCTATTTCACACGGTTAAAAACATTGACATTGATGCATTCGGTAGCCGATACATAGTACAATGTATGGACATCCCTTTGATTCGTTTCGATTAGCACACCTTATTTCTGATAAGATATCCTTTATCATTTTTTAATCGTTCGAAGTTATAGGCGACATAAACACGGTAAGAGTCGTTAAAAGGTTAACTAGAATTACATACTTCTATCACAGTGCGCCAGTTAATTTCACAATTCAATTCAACGATTCTAATAGAATACCACCAGGCAAAAAAAAATGTATGCATTAAACGAACGTTACAATAAATATTTCGCGAGAAACGTACAACACACGCGAACGGAGATATTGAATAACGACGCGATCATCTTCCTCGTAAAGTTGCCATTTTAGATTCTAGTTTGTTGATCGTACAACGACTCGATATAACTGGACTTTGTTTTTCATTTTACAAACTATCGTACGAATCTTCATTAGAATCGAATTAAAGTTTATTTTTTAGTGTACATTTTTACAGCAATTGTATTATGTTTTTGTATTAAAATAAATAATTTTAATCGAGTTGAAACGTCACCTACATCACTCTAGCGTAGGTAAAAGAATTCAGAAAATACGTGGCGCCATCTAATATCAGGGATTCGAACTGCTAAAATCGTGCCAGGATCACAGAATGTTAGTGGAGGTATCCGGAGCACAGGTTCCCCCACTCCTGCTACTCCTATTACGCAGTATCTTGATTATTCACTAATTACTCCTTTTCTGGGATTAAAATATCAACTTTTAGAATTTAAGAATATAGTATAGACCCTTGGCAACATTCAAGGATACTTTTTAGAACCATTCCACCCGTAATTAAGACGTTATTAGCGAATATCTGAAGTCTGCTTTAATCGATGAATTATCAACTTTTCAACAATAACACATATATTTTGGTTATTACAGAAGCAAGTGGGCATCCCTGACAACACTCAAAGACCAATTTTGCAACGCTCCTCGCTTTAATTAATTAATTATTAGCGATAGATCGTTGAAAGGTTAAAAGTAATGTGCCGGCTTTCGATATTGATTAATAACGCATGCCATGGTTAGAATAGGTAACCTCGAAGCTTACCAAGGGTCTACACTATACTCTTAAGCTCTAAAAGTTCGTAATTTAATCCCAGGAAAGGCGTAATTAGTAAATTAACGAGCAGTGATTCATTAAAAACAGTGAATTATTGATTTTTGCCATGTGGCGCCAACTAGCGGCGAAAACAGCGTACTATCTGTTTCTCTGCTTCCAATGAACTATTTCTTGTTAATTTACTAATTACGCCTTTCCTGGGATTAAATTATGAACTTTTAGAGTTTAAGAATATAGTATAGACCTTTGAAAAGATACAAGGATACCTGTTCCAACCATGACATGCGTTATTAAATAGGTATTAACCAATATCGGAAGCCGGCATATTGTTTTTAACCTTTTAACGCGACACCTTGGGGATCTATTGCTAATAACTAATTAATTAGAGCGATGAGCGTTGCAAAATTGATCCTTGCTTCTGTAATAACCAAAATATGTGTGTTATTGTTGAAAAATTGATAATTCATCGATCAAAGCAGACAGTGATGGAGTCGTAAATGCTCCGACTTCAGATATTCGCTAATAGCTTCTTAATTACGGTTGGAATGGTTCTAAAAAGTATCCTTGAATGTTACCAAGGGTCTATACTATATTGTTAAATTCTAAAAGTTCATATTTTAATCCCAGAAAAGGAGTAATTAGTGAATAATCAAGCTACTGCGTAATAGGAGTAGCAGGAGTGGGGGAACCTGTGCTCCGGATACCTCCACTAGCATTCTGTGATCCTGGCACGATTTTAGCAGTTCGAATCCCTGATATTAGATGGCGACACCATTTTACGACACTTTTTTCGCTTTCATAAGATGTAATTAGAAAATGATGGTGAGGTATGTAAGTACATATGTATGTACGGTCATATATAGGAATAGTAACCAGAAATTTCTTTATTTCAATAGTTAAAATATGATCAGGGTATCTTGAACGTGTATTTCCGTAAGCAACATTCTTAATTATTTTTTCTTCGTTATGGTTCGAGAGCGAAAGGGGATGGCTCGCATTAGTATTCTTTCTCGACTTCTTCGAGATGGTGTGAATTGTAAACGTGTTCATTTCGAATAACTTTGAATAATTGTCGATTCTCTGAACTCTACGAGCTTACGTATACTATATGATCAGATGATCTGGCATAGTGTGTGAAAGTGGAATGAGGAGTTTATGGTGCACCTCGTGCCCGGTCTGTCAACGCCGATTTCATTTGTTCGTAACAAACAAATTCGGTTTAATTTAGGCATTGATATGGCCAGTGGTTTGAAACCCGAATGTTCCTTTCTATCGTGGTATCCACAATTTCGGAAACATTCTTTGGAAGCTACGATTCTTCATATTCCTAACGAAGTAGTAAAGTATTTGCAACACGATGCGTTTATATTACCCTTCGAAGCAAGAACCCATGGATTAGAAAGCGCAAAATGGACAGATGGTTCCCCGGTAGTGGACGAAGAGGTGAATTTCACGCAATATGTATTTGGAGTTTTGTTATTGTTCTACATCATATTGAAACATCATTGTTTTCAGCCTCAGCTTGAACTTGAACCAATGTTTCAAGGATTCAGTCGAAAGATACAAGACATTATAGACGATTACGGTGCAGTTTTTATTAAATGCAATTGGAGTTCACCTTCGGTATGAAAACCCTTCAATTTCCATTATATATTTATTTTTTTCATGTTTGTTTACTTTTAGGATGCAACCTGGGTCGTGCCTACAAAAACACTCAAATGTAAAACATTGGAAGACATATATTTATTACTAAAGAGTTCGGATAGAATTATGGATGATTTGAACAATGTTAGAAATTATGAGAATCGTGGAATTCCTTTAAAAGCTTGTCTTGTATTGAAGAAATGGCAGGATATCAATCCCTGTACAGAATTTCGATGCTTTGTCATTGAAAATGAACTTACAGGTAATATATGATTTTCTATCTACCTTGTAATTTATTCGGCTGATCAGATTATTATTGTAATTGTATACAGCGATCAGTCAACGAGATATATCGCAGTACCACAGCTACAACGAATCGGAGAAATATAATATACAAACAGATATCGAAAGCTTGTTTATGGAACGTATTAAAGACAGGTTTCTATTGAACAATTGTAAGCAAATAGATTTCTACTTTGCGTTAAGTCGTAAGGCTTTAATTAATGCTAAAATTTTTCTATCATAGATTCGTTTGATGTTGTACGCAACAAGAAAAATGAAACAATGATAGTTGATTTTGGTACTTTGGATGAATCTGCTACCGATGGAACCCTTTTCACGTACGAGGAATTACAAAATAAAATAAACGACACGCCGGAATTTCGATTCATCGGCGAGGAGATCGGTATACAACCGAAATCTTCAAATTATTGTTGCATTCCGCAAGAAATAAGCGAATTCTTTCAATGGAACAAAAGTTCCGCGTTTCTCGATATCATTCAACGAGTAAGTAATTCAATTTTATTTCCGTTAACGCGGACTCATCTTTGTCGTATTCGTGACTCGACGTTCTTCGTTCTAGAAAGTGGAAAGTCAACAAAAAGAAGGTGAAAGCACAGACGCTGATGCTTTGGATAATGTTTGAAAAAATTAACTTCGACGAAAGACATAAGTGCATTTGTACACACGGATCAAACTGTTCTTAATACGATGCTTTAATTCGTTACTGACATTTAGAATTTGGACAAAAATTTTCTTACCTTTCGCGGCTAGCCTTAGGTTCATAAAAAAAAATGATAAAGCCAAAATAAATGAATAAATATACACTTGTAGAACACGTTTAAATACAGAACTTTCACTTTTATTCTGCCAGACCCTCTTCTATCATTACATTACATAAAACGATTAAAGGCTATCCTACCGCTTAAAAGAATTATCATAATATTGCAATATTTTTTCGAGCCATCGGCCTTACCGAGCGACGTCCCTTATATAGAAAATATGTCTTGTTTATGTACAATATGCAATCCTTAATACTTCGATTTGAAAAAGGATTCTCGATATATGTACCTCCGGACAAGTTAATACGCTGTACAGTCATATCCACGGAGCATTTCTTCGTCTTTTACCTCGCCATCGATAAAAATCAACGAGATCGAGCGATTATTTCCGTTAATTCGTGTTAATTTCTCATGTTTCTCTTTCCCTCGCATAATTCGATACGCATAACTACTCGATAACAGCTTCTTGCAACTGTGAATGGAATTAATACTTCTTTTTTTTTGTTTCTTTTCTGTTAGGGTTCTCTTATTTCTTGTACGTTCTCTAGGGTTATCAGTATTCAGACATTCGAATATACAATTATCGAAGAATCAGTTTGAAAACAAAAGAAACATTGGCCATTCCGTTAGAAATCAAGATATGCATCGTATTCGTACGAAAAAGTGTTATTAAAAAAAAAGGTCGATTGAAAAAAAAATATTTCTGAAACACCTTTTTATTGCATGAAATCGATTAAAATGGCGATTCGAAAATCTCCCGCTGGACACGTTCGATTTTCGAATCCACCTTCTAACGTACATTCGTGCACTCGAGTATTTGAACATCCCAATACCCATAAACCCGAGTAACGGATTTTTCGCTTCTTTTTACGAATCGAGTCGCGATCGTTGAAAAGTTCAACCGGATCTTCGAAACGGGAATACAATGGATAAGTTTGTATTATTCAGGGATCGATAATTTAACGTTAATCGCAAATTAACATACTCGTCCGACGAACAAATTTCCAATGATCGAATTTAAAACGAATCTATCGTTAACGGCGTCGATAAAAACGTGATACCACAAGCAATTTTTTCCCTAAAACACTTCAATTTTGAACGTTTCAATTGTTAAAGTCGTGCTACGTGGTTGGTTCGCAGTGGAACGGTCTTAACAGTCCAAATTCGCTATAATTTCGGTTTCTTGATGCGCGTTAGCCAGAACGAATTATTATTTTTTTTTTAAATAAACAGGCCTGCAACGGTCATCGGGATCACAAAAGATTAATACGAAGAGAACTACGAAGGTTGCAGTTTTATGCGCGACTTTTTTTTCTTTTTTTTTTTTTTCTTCGCTTAACGATCGTCAAATATTTACATACAAATGCCGGCGGTGCGTGTATTTACATGTAAAACATCGATTCCACGTTAAACGTATGCATGATGCGTTTGGATCGAACCGCGCGGCCATTCACCGAAGAAACATCTTCCGACTGGTTGCGTATCTCGAAAATATGTATCATTAAACGCTTTATATTTTTAATTACAGTGCATATGTATAACGGTATTCGTCTAGAAAAGAAATGTTCCCTTCGATCATGCGTGTTGTGTGTGTGTGTGTGTGTATTTTCTTTATACTGTATTCGTTTAAACGTATATACAGAGAAGCGGATCATTCGGATGTTCGTTTTAGTCCATTTATTCGGACATGACTGTACCGGTGTTTATTATTACATTTCCATTTTCTTTCTTTCATTAACAACTCCGTCCTCGGTTTATCCGGCTTCCCCTCCTTCATCGTTCTCCTAAGTTTATTTAATCTCTCGATCTTCAACTGATTTGTGCTAAACGACAATACGTATCCTTAATCAATGTACGTTTTGCAGTGCACGGCCGTTTCGTTCAAATCGTATTTCTCTATCTCTCTCTCTCTCTCCCCATCTTCCATTCTCGAGCATCATTTTTTATTTTCTTTTTCTTTTTTTTTTTATACCCTCGTGTTTCACGTTTACTTTTTTATCTTCCCGTAATTTTATCCTCTCTCACGACTACATCAATGTTCTCGCATTTGCTCGTTTCGCGGATATCGAAGTGGTGCAGCGGCAACATCGTCCTCTCGAATACTGGTAGTTAAGGGATCCTTTCGAGTGAGAAAAAACAGTAGTCTTTAACAAACGATACGATACGATACAAAAACACTTAATTTTAACGGCCAGTGTAAACTCTTCGCCATTTTTTTTTTCTCCTCCTCCGACTCTGTCTACATCACTCCCACTCTCCCTTTTCTTTCATTTTTTTTCCTTTTTCTTTTTTAAGTACCTGAAAAGCTCTCGGCCATGGAAAACTTTGCTTGTCCTTAAGCGTTTCATCTAGGTTTTCATCGGTTTTCATCTCTCCTTAATTAAGTCCACACACGAGTTGTTTTTTTTTTTTTTTTTTAAGAAGACTACAGTTACCCCTCTATTATAAATGCGGTTGGTACGACTAAAGGTGGCAAAAACGGCCAGGCTATCACCGACAACCGAATATACATACTCGTCAACATTCTCTCCCACACACACTCTCTCTCTCTCTCTCTCTCTCTCTCTCTCTCTCTCTGCCTCTCGCGCTCATTTGCTTTGCTCTAACGTATAAGCTACATATAACGTTTTCTTGTCCACCCCATCAAAAAATACGTATTATTATCTTGGTGCGACGCTTTTCCAAAAATTTACATCTACACACAGATGCATCTTCTTCTAAACGTCTCTTGTCTGTTTTCGTCCGTCTGTCCCTTTGTCCGTATAATTAGTTTACATGCGAAGCGTCCGATTCATTTGTTCTCTTCTTTTTTTTTTATTTCCCCCCCCCCCTCCCTTTCTTCGGTTCCGTTTTCTCTCGTTACCACAGTTTAAATGTACAGGAAGATAAGAGCTTAATTTTAGACAATAGCTATAACTCGGTTTCTTTCTCGTCGATTCGCGGTGCTGCTGAAAACTCGTCGGTTCTGGTTCCGAAACGGATTCGAGGCGGTTCGTTGAAAAAAACTTTGTGAAAAGTGGGACTCGAGGAAGTTTTTTCTATTTTTGTTTTTCTCGCGTACACGTTATTTACAAGGAAAAGAGAAAACGAAACTGTGAAAATAAGCGAATTCGGTGTGGATGGGCAACTAGAGATTTTCGAGTACGGCCACCCGTACCGAAAGGATCAAGGGATCATGACTACGGAGAAATTTCATTTTTTTTGCGTCGATCATTGGGTGCAAACGAGAAACGATAAGGGGGGACATACACGCGTCAGCGTCAATGCAACCGCTACTATTTTTTAAGGCTTGAATTTTCGTAACACCGATTACGGATTGTCTATGTCAGCCTCCGCGCTACACCCTGTTAGCAGCTCCAGATGAAAATGTATTATCGCGAATCGTTCGAGCAACAGCTTGGGGGGCGATCGTTTTGACTAATTACGCGTTGTAGAAATTGCCGACAAACATGACGAGAACTACGAGAAAGATGATCGACATGTGCACGAGGTAGAGTTTTACTAATCGTCGTCGACAGAGTGGAAAAAACGAAAATGAAGATATCTACCTTACATTAATACGTTCAAAGTGAAGCAATTGAACTAATACAATTTACATCCGATTACAAGAAAGACAGTACAATTTAACGCATCTCTCACCGTTACTTTTTTTCCCCCTCTCTTCTCCGCCTGCCTTCATCTTTTTTTTTTTCTTTTTTTTTCCGTTCTTTCGCGTAGTTTGTTTTTCCTTTAAACGGAGTCACTTTGGTTCATATTACGAAAGGAGACAATTCACAGGAACATTACTTTTCAATATTCTTAACCCTTAGCTTCTGCGTCGGAGATAAATATAGTATAACACGCGCGTCGACTAAACGAACTCTAGCCATTTACACGCCGAGAAATTTCGAACAGATCACTCCGCGACCGAGGCGCGAAAGAAATTTTACGCAAGTTCATCAAGTGTGTTTTTTTTTTTTTTTTTTCCATAGCTTAATCGCACAACCTTTACAAGTGTTTCATTTTCTTCATTTTTTTTTTTTTTGTTTGTTTCGTTTGTTTATAATTTATAGTAAATTGCAGGCATTCTCACGCGTCACGACAGCACACCGAAAGATGATATAAACCTGTCATTCTGAAACAAGGTGAAGCGATTTTGTACTAAAGTGCAGCGATATAATATTATACTTTTAATGAATTATCTACGTAATGTACAGTTTTTTGGGTACTTTTTTTTTTACATGCACCGTGACAAGGTATGGTCGGCCCGTACGACAGAAAAGTTGATTTTAATAATATATTTATATATACCTCCTCGTTTTCTCTATGTTCTCCTTCCACCTCAATATCCTTTAATTTCATCGCCCTGTTTTCGCTTCTATTGATCGTCCGTTTAATTCACCACCGACTCCTCCGATTCAAGGTACGACGCTACAATTTACAAGGATCGTCCCTATTATAAAGTTAGGGTACTATGTTATCGAGAAGCGTTACGCGGAAAGGCAAAAGTTCAATGCGTGTCTTACTACGTTAATTTGCCGAACCGGATCTATAGACTATTTTTGTCTACTCAGTCTGACCACACCGTTAGAACGTGGAATAGTATCGTTTATGATAGATACAGTAGACAGAATTATAAATTCAGGCTCTGCGAGGGGTCTATCAACAACCAGATATACATTCTATTTTATTTTTATCGTCTCTCATTCACACTCTCTCGCCCTTTCTTTCTCTCTCTCTCTCTCTCTCTAGTATGCCTAATTCTCGTCACGAAACCTTATCTCTTGACTAGATTGCGTCTCTAATATTCTTAACGATTTAATCTAAGTCTGCCATTCATTATAATCTGCACCTTACATCTACGTATCATAGTAACATCTAGTGGTAAAAGGATGATCTATTCTCGTCGAGAATTCGCCAAATGAATCGTTCGTTCATCTCTCTCACGCTAGCGAAACGAATCGTCAATGTTCAATTTTATATTTTACGGAAAAAATTTGTTTCGCGATTAACAATCTTTTGCCTATGCAGGGTATAGGCACACCGAGTCACGGGTATGCCATTAAAGTTTCTCTCGCCAACAGCTCCGGCATTTGCCGATACATATGTACAAGAAGCTTGTTATTTCTATGGATCGTCGTTACGATCCCGAGCGAACTTCACGCGCCAATTTCCCAGGGTTCCTTCGACGCGTCATCCGCTTCCGCCCGGTTCGATTCTAGCTTCGTCCGTCGATGCAGAGGCCACGAGGATACGTTCCTTCGTCCGAAAGTTCCTTCTCCTCCTCCGTCGCTGGACCGGATTGGATCGCGCGTCCCAGGGACGCGTGTACCATTACGATAGAACAACACGCGATGCTCCGTCGAGCCTTCGAACGCTAAGACTACCTTTTCTTCCCGGTCTGTTTCGCGGATAGTCGTTTCTTTAGCCTCGAGTGATCCGACTTGACCGACTTCTTCTTCGGTCTTTCCGGCGAGCCGTTGCAGCACGCGCAACCCTTCTTAACGTGGCCGCGCAAGCTCGATCGTCTGGCGCGACAGTCGGGCTCGACCAACGCGATATTGCTCGCCTCGTCGTCCGACGGCTCGGAGGCCTTGTCGCTGGACACCATCACCGAGTCTTGGATCGACTCGCTTGCCTTGATGCGTTTCGAGAGGCTACCGGCCTTGTGATCGCCTCGATTCAACACCACCCTCGTGTTCACCTGCAATTTCTCTTTTTTTTTTAAATAACTGCAACGTCGCTCGCTCGACAGAGATTTCAGGCTCTGCACGGCGTCGTCCAGGCCGTTGCTCAGAGCGTTCTCCTCCGGCTGGCTGCCGATCGATTCGCTAATGCTCGAGTCCTCCTCGTCGCTGCTCGATCTCATCCTCTCGGACATCGGGCTCTCCCACGACAGGTAATCCATTCTCGTCACCTTCGACGCTATCCGCTTCTTGTTGGTGTAAGTATATTTGTGCGTGGAGAGCATGGGACCGGCGATCGGCGACAGCGGCGAGGGTATGGTAACGTCGGCGGTATTGCCGCTGAGCAGCGTCAAACTTTCGTCGCCCGAGCTCGCGGCCGACACGTTGTTCACGTTGATGGTCGGCGGTAGCGATTCCGAGTCCAGGTCGATGTCTAGTTTCATGTTGGATGGAATGCTGGACACGCTGCTCGGCGAGCCCTCCTTCGAGCCGTTTCTCGACGCGATCTTCGTTCGACCGGTGTCCTTCAACGAGTCGTTCTCCAACGATCCCAAGTTCGTCGGCGAGAGCCTCGAGATATCGGAATTGCTGTTCGACGCCTCGTCCTGGCTCGAATTGTCCAAGGTTAATCGCAAATGCTTCGCCGGATTCTCCAGGTGCAGTTCCTCCACCTTTTCTCTCTTCGACCTCTTGGTCGAATCCTTCGAGGACCTTGTACGTTGGCTCGTGATTTTTCTGCGCTCGTTCACCTTGAAGTCCGCTATGGGACTGGCGTCCCTGCTGCCGCTCGACGAATCCAGAGACCGGAAATAGGAACCGCCGTACGATTTCATGCCTAGGGGCTGACTGCAGGACGCGTCCTGGGAAGAGTGATCGAACGACGGCGAGTGATTCGTGTCGAACAACAGATCCGCCTCGGGGAACAGGTCGCTGGTGCTCGGTTCGTCCACGCCCAGATCCTCGCACTCCTCGGACAAACTTTTCTGTAGCCTCATCTCGCGTTCTATCGCGGCCGCCTTTCTCTCCAATTTCTGCTGCAACAGTTCTCGTTCCAGTCTGGGGGTCAACGGTGTCTTCATCAAGTTGCTTTTATTCGAATATTGCTGGAACGGCTCCAAAGTGTGATTCATGAAATACTTCTTCGCGTTTGTTTGATAAATCTGACCGCCCGCCATCTCGATACCCTGGCCCTTGTTTATGATCTGCAAGACGCTCTGCACGTTCTCGGAGTTGTCGGCGTATCTGGAGTTCAGAGGCTCGATATTCAGAGAATTCATGGACGTAGGAACGTATCGCCAAGGCGTGTCGGGCGACACTTTGCCTTCCGGCTCCCAAGCTTCTTGCAGCCTCGCGTTTCCGTACAGCAAACCGTTCCCGACCTTGCAGGACACGTCGATGCTCTCGCTGGATTGCTGGACAGGCGACTCTTGACTATCGGAACTGCTCGGACCACCGGTCACCAAAAACTGCGTCGCGTTGTCGATTATACCTGGCTGTTTGCTCGTCACTATCGTGGACATGGAATCTGCGAAAACGTTATTACTTATAGTAATTATAATGTATTGACTTTCAATGCAGGGTACTACCCCCTTAAAAATCTACGATCTTCAGTGTTTCGTTGAATTTTGTAAGCTATTAAATACCCCGATACGAATAACTTACTCTTAATTTTATTTCGATTCGATTATCCCAAGGAATTATAATAGTTTTGAAAGGAACACTAACCGATAGCCGCGTTATTCTGCAACGACCTGGCATTGCTCGAACAAACGACAGATTTGGAAGCTATCAAGGTTTTCGGAATGTTCACCGACATACCCATAGCATCGTCGATTTTTCTTTTCACCGTCTTCGGGGAGATGATCTTGGCGCCGGGGATTATTTCCGTCGACACCTCCTTCGTGTCTTTTTGCTGCTGTTGTTGCTGTGTATCGTTCAGCATAGAAACGTCCGATTGAGTGGCGAACGCGAGCGCGATCGTGGCACCGGTTTGAATGGAAACAGGCTTCTCGTTGTGAACTTGAGACTCCTGCGACGGTTTCTTCTCGGGCGTGTGAGCGATGGTGGCCGCCGCCGATGGCGTCAGACACACCACGTTGTCGGGTTTCAGTCCAGCGGGCGTCGACAGTTTGTGGATAGAAGAGTTGAACAGTCTCGTACCTTGAAGAGTCAAGTTCGGATTGCTCGTGATCACGCCGCATATCTGTTGACTCTCCGCAGCTTCGTTCATGTTTCGTTGAAGCAAACCGATGGTGGAATTGCTCTTGTTCACGACGATCGCGTTCGTCGCGGGCTCGACGGCTACGCCACCGGTGACCGTGTCGGTTTTCGCCATTGTCAGGTCACCGACGATGTTGTTCTTCTCCGTCACCGTGTCCCCCGCGAATTGACCGGTGTTTCCAGTCTGTGGGATCACCACCGAGGTCGCCTGAACGTTCTGAGTGGCGGTCAACGTTTGATTGCCCGACAGTGTTTGCAACGTCGGTATCTTGACCTGTTTCACTTGCGCCGGCTGCGAGATGATCTTTCCCGCTTGATTCAGAAACGACTGGAGCACGAGGGTGTTCGAAACGCCGGTGTTCCCGGCGGTTCGGACCGTCGCAGGCACCGTGGCGAGGAGTTTCGATCCACTGGACACTATCGTGAATTGCTGGCCGCCTTTCACCAGGTTCATCGGCAAGATGTAATTGGTACCAGGGACCAGGACAGCCGTGCTTCCCATTTTCCCTGTCACCGAGGCGAGGGCTTCGCTGACGCTCACGGAAGTCGCTTGCACCGCATCCTGGACGATCACCGCCCTGGGTTGCCCGGAACCGGGCTCGGCGAAGATCAGATTCCGTCTCTTGACGTTCAACTCGACTCCGTCGTTCGAATCGTTGGTCAGGTTTCGAACCTCGGCGCCCGCGTCGGCCACGTTCCCGACGTTGCTGGTGGGTTCCTCCGGAGCCGGGAAACCGGCAGCTGGACTGTCCTGCACGTGCACGACGCCGCTGGACGAATCCTCGCTGCCCATAGTTCTGCCGAGGTCGTCGGCGCTGGGACTCAGTTCCGAGTTCTGTTGGCCGACCGGTTTCGCCTTGTTCGCGCTGGACTTCTTCCTTTTCGAGGACTGACTAGGATTCGTCGGCGGATTCGATCGTCTCCTCGGCGCTGGTTTGTTGTTCAGATCCGGAGAGTTTCGCAGCTGCTCCGCGTACTCGTCCAATATAGCGTAGATCCTCTGCGCGGTTTGCTCGTCCTCCTGCGGCTTCTGCTGCGGCTTGGGTATCGGCGACGCCTTCGACGTGTTCGTCGCGCTGGTCTTGACCGTTTTCGGCGCCGATTTCTTCACCGTCTTCGAAGAGGGCGGCGTGGGAGGCGTCTTTCCGGCGGATGGTATGGGCGCGGGTGCTGGCGTGACGCACGGGCTGGAAGAACTCTGAGATGTGACGCTCAAGGCCGGCGAGGCTGCCGGTTGACAGTAACTGGTCACCACGACGACTGGCGCGGTGTTGGGAGTCTTGGCAGCCCCGGTCCCGGCAGCGCTTTGATTCACGTAAGCCAGGGAAACTTTCTGGGAGAAAATATCCTGCTGGAAGTTCACGGTATTGCCGTTGCTCGTGAAATCGTTGTTGGTGACTTGTTGTGTTGGCATTAGTAGCTGCTGCGCGAGCGCGCTGACAGAAACCTGTTGCTGCTGTTGTTGCTGCTGTTGTTTGGTAGCCTGAGTTTGTTGCGTAGTCGTCTGCGTCTGTACGGTGGTCGTAGCGGCGGTGGATATCATTTGATGAGACTGCGGTTGGATAGTACTCCTCTCTTTCACCTGCTCCAACACGCTTTCGAACTCCCTCAGTTGTTCCAGAGTCGTCGAACTGACTTGGTTGGGTACCTCGATAGGTGTTCCGATTAAACTGTCCGTTCTAACTGCTGGTGGTTGTTGTTGTTGTTGTTGTTGCGGTTGTTGCTGTTGTTGCTGTTGTTGTTGCTGCAACCTGGGTGTCGTCAAAACAGCCTGAATGGCTCCGGTGATGTTCTGCTGCCTCAAAGGAGTGGTAGCACGGATAATGTTCAATTTAACAACCGGCGTTCTGCCGGGTGGTATCGAATTTGCGTGCGATATGGTGGGTATAATGTTCAGCTGACTCGGATTGGTGGTAGATATCGTGACAGGAATTTTGTGCGTGTATATCACACCCGGCGAGGCGTTCTGCACGCTCTGCACCAGCTGCGTCAGCGTCTGATTGGCGTTCGGACTGGTCGCCACGTTCGCGTTGTTCCCCGAGCTCTGCACGATGTTCAGAATCTGCCTGCCGGTGGACAGTTGCAACGCGTTCGTCGGAATGTTTGCGATCGACTGCACGTTGATCCCAGAGGATGGATTCGTTTGTTGGGCATTCGGTACGGACGTTTGCACCGCCTTCGAGAGGTTTGTCGTTTTCTGCGGAGACGCAGCTTGGACGAGTGTCTCTGTGGCCGGCACGCTCGTGGCACCGCTCGACGCGTCCGTCGATAGCGTGTATATAGTTTTACGGAACGCCTGCTGGAACTTGGGCAGGCCAGCGTTCTGTCCAGACTGCGCGACCGTTTTCGTAGACGTTAATCTATCGTACGTGTTTCTGCTGGTTGCGTTCGCGTTATCCGTGTGTTGATTCTGCCGTGAGAAACCACCGACGTTCCCGCCGTCGTCCATGTTTTGCAAATTAAGAACGCTCCTCTGATTGGAGACGACGTTCGGGTTCACGGATGCCAACTGATAAGTACCGTCCGGTTTGCAGACGATCTGAAGCTGCTCGGACGCGATGCTGGCCGCCGCCGTGGCGACCGCCGAGCTCGTCGTGGTGGTGGTCGTGGTCGTAGTGATTGCGGAACAAGGAGAAGGTGATTTCTTCGGTGATTGACTCTGTTGATTCCGACGTATCGGCATCGTTCTGGGACTCGAATCTGGCTCTAGCTGACTGGAGACGTTCGTGGTCATCGAGGAAGTCGGCGAGCCGTCCGGTGGTTGATTCGCCTCCTCGCCTACGTCAGGAAGCGTCGATGACCTAGGAGGAGGTGTCTGACCCGCCGGGCTCATGCCCACGCCACTGTCGTGCCCACCGGAGGAAGGTGTACCGGGTAACTGAATGTTTCCAGCCACGCTCGGTGTTCTGTTCGGCCTTGGTGGAGTATTGCCGCTGTTAACCGAGCCCGAATTCGGGCTCTGTGGAATGTTTCTGGAGAGCTGCACCACGTTCACGGTGGGTCGCATTCTGGGTGGCACCATCATGTCCAACGAGTTCAATCCCGGCACATTTTTTGCCAATATGTCCGAATCTCTGACTGCCTTCGCGAGAATGTCGAATTTTCGTTTACCCAGATTCGACTTTGAATTCAAATCCCGTCTTCTGTTGGTGGACGCCAGGTCCGATTTCCCGGTGTTCGCTCCCCTGTTCCCCTTTTGCTTCTGATACGTGGACATCGCGTTCTTGTTCGGCGAGAACGGCATGTTTTTCTGAATGTTCATCAGCTCGCTGGTGATGTCGCCGGTGCTTAATCGTTGCTGTTTCTTCGAACGGATCAGCTTCCTGTCGACCTCGTCCGTTCTGGTCAGCACGATCTTCGGATTCAAATTCAGCGTGCTGAGCATCGGCGCGAACTTGGTCACGTTGTTCGTGTTATTTTCTAAATTATTATTGTCCTTGCTTTTGTTCAGCAGGTTTTTCTGTAGTATTTGAGAAATTCGCGTGGGCTTCTTCGAGTTCTGTGGCCTGAACATTCGTAGAGACTTAAGTACTGCCGGATCGCTTCTTCTCTCGGTGATTATTAACGGCGCGGCCGCCGTGTACGCCGAGCCTTTTATCGTTTCTCGTTTATTCTCGTCCATATCCGCGGAGAACAGCGTTATGATATCGTTGCTGCTCACATCGGAACCGCTCGCGTCTTCGTTTGGATTCGTGCGTCGAACGTTATCGTTCACGAGCATGTGGAAATGCGAAACCGATTCGACGGTCAATTTCGTCGACTTGGAGCGTTTCTTATTCGTCTCCTTGCCGGACGATTTGCCCGACTTATTTTTCGTTTCCAGATGACAACCGTCGCTGCCCAGGCTATCCGTTTGGCTGTCTTGCGTGTTGCTATCGCTGTCGGAGAGCGAACTGACGGTATTCCTGAAGTGTTTCAACTTCCGTTCCGCGCTATCGTAATCGCTCTCGGACGAAACTAGCCTGTGGATCTTTCTTTGCCTTCCAGTTCTTCTAACGCGAAGCACGCTACCGCTGTCCGAATCCGTGGTGGTGGTGTCGTCGAGGCTCCTCCTGGTCGAGGATCTCTTGTACGATCCAGCGGGCTGAAAGCTACCAAACTGCTCGGAGTTATCCGAAGGCATATCGACCCATTGCTCGTACCCCTTCTCGATGCCAAAAAATATATCTTTGGTGGTGTCGTCCTCCGAGGGCCAATCTTTGAATTGCGAATAATCGATATTAAGATACTTCAGCTCTTTGTTGGTGTTCCTCATCTCCTCGGCGTTCTCCAAGTATCTCTCGCACAGACTGTTCAGCTCTTTCCAATCCAGCACCCAGCTGAGCATGTGATAACGAGGGCTGCTCAAAACCACGGACAAATCGTCGCACAGCTGCGGCGACAGACCGAGTTTCTCCGCGTCCAGGACCTGATTCGGTACCGATTTCTCGTCGTAGTTTGCCGAGCCCGTGACAGCGTCGCCTTTGATCAGAATCAACGCGTCCAACGTCCTCTCCACGTTCACGGGTGTCGGTGATGTCTTCTCTACAGACTTCTTGCCGGAAAAATCGTTACCAGTGAACTCGCCGCAATTGAAACAAAGCTCGCCGAGCGGTTCGTTGAACAGCGGATTTCTCTTCGGATGCAGGGGACATCTGTCGCCCGGTGTTATCGGTGACTCGCCCTTTCTCGGAGCGGTTAAAAGACTTTTCAACAATTGATCCGTTCTCTCGAAGGTATTGTTCACTTGGCCGTTCTGGAAATCGACGCCCTTCTTCGTCCCCGTCGACGTTGTTACGGCCGCGGTCGGGCTGGGCAACGAAGACGTTGCGAGCAACGGGGAACTGTACAAACACGAGGACGTTTCCGCGTTCTCGTCTATCGTCCCTTCGGTCTTCTCCCCGGTACTGTTATCGTTCTTTAGTAACCCCGCGTTGGAATGATTATTCTCGAACGTCTGTTTAACCTTGTCGTTCACCACGTTCCCATCCGACGTTAGACCGTCCTCCTTCGTCTTCCCGCACGCCACGGCGATCTCCTTGATCCTGTCGTAGCAAACCCTCGTGGGATGCAACGAAAACGCGGTCAGAACGCATTCCCGCGCGATACCGATGTTGCTGTCGACCACAACGGCCAGTTTCAGGAATTGAGCGCTCAAGCGTTTCGCTGTCTCGCGAACCTTATCCTTGTCGGACTTTGCCTTTTGACTCTCCAGCTCGTTCATGTCCGTCGTCAACGCTCTGATATATAGCTCGATCACTAGAGGCTTTATGCTGTCGCCAAACTGGAACAATAGAATTCAGACATTGGGAAAATGTAATTATTAGATTTCAGGAGCGATACATTCGTCTGTGACGCAACGTTAACAAACAGTGTTTATTGCACCTTGCACATCTTAATATTTTTATTAATTTATGTTGACAAATTTCTTTGGTTCTATTATGATTCTTTTTTTCTATAATGTCTGTATACTCACATGTTTCGCAAGCACCGCGCAGAAGATGTAAATATGTTGGGCGCTCTCGGCGGGTTCGATCAATTTCCTTATGATCCCCGACAGCGGTGGCGCGACGACGTCCTTTAATTTCGAGTGCAACAACGCCCACGAGCTGAGAATTTGTTCCAAAATATTCGCGCCGGTGTCCGGCACGGGACGAACCATGCCGGCGGTAACGAGATATTGTGCAACCAATTCGGCAGCTTTTATCGAATTTTTCCAAACACGCGCAGCTCCATATTTCGTTGGTCTTTCGCCGCTGAGTCTTTGGACCAACTCCAATCCGTCGCGTAGGTCCATTAATTTTAACTGAAAAGAGACGCGTTCCTTTAGTACATCTTGCCCGTTTCATACACGTATCGCGTAAAAAGCGTATCGGTGCACGGCGTATGAAAGGCGTTTAGAGCCCGATGTGCCGCGCGTCTGGAAAAAGGATTCGGGGTAGACATATTGACCGCGCGCACTGGTGCACCGTGAGAGCATCGCGGTGAAAGGTCGTGAACGACCCCTTTCGTACGGTACTCACTTGAGCGAATATATCTTGCATGCGTTTCAATTTATACAAGAGGACAATATAGACGTCGATCATGTAATGAACGTGTTGAGAATCCGAGAGCGAGCGCAACCGATCGCTCCGCCGCAGAGAACGAACGCAGGCGGCGGCGAGGTTCACCGCTATGTCCTCGCAGCGGCCCTCGCAAAGTATTTCCAGCCTCATTGTTAACAGTTCACCTTTCTCCGAACAGCAGAATTCTGTTGGATCGAAACAAACGTCGTTAGAAACTCGATTTGGTCGTTTAAAGCAGTAAACAAGCTGCCCTGTACCCAGCGGAACGCGGCAAGGGGATAAATAAGCAAAAAAAGTCGCGATCGGTGCTGCGTTTAATCGAGAGGGAAGACAGATTGTTTTCTGGCCAAGTACTAAGGGATCCAGAGCAGCCAATCTTTTAGCCATTCTGGAGCCAAAATAAACCGGACCTACATTTCAACAGTTTTTTTTGCTAATACATGTTCTTTGTAAAGATATTTAACATTTGCTGTGACCGGTGTGGGTCGACGACGACGATAAAAAATTTGTTTATACCCTCTTCATGTTCGGAATCCGGTTGGCCGTTAAGTATGCTGTCCAGTGCGGGACGAGCCCATGGATTGTGCACCAGAGCTATCAGTGCAGTACACCTGGGTGCAGCGGGGTGTTGCACCAGGTGAGAAGCGCACCTCTGTAAGGTTACGCTGAGGTGCGTCTTTGTCGCGGGTGACAACTTCGGCCACTCCCCGCGCAGTACCAATTTCAACGTGTGGCTGAAACGAGACGAGCAGAATTATAGTTTAAATTTCAACGTTGGTAGGAAGCTTTCGAATTTAAGAGTCACGCGGGGTTACAAAGGGTTTAGGTCGAACAAGCTGAGAAAGGGAATTAAAAAGGGAGTTTCTTTCGGCGTCGGTTCTTTTTTCTAGGGACACGCTTCTGTTCCGTGTCGCGAAACGGTCGTGTTCGGAAGGTCCCGCGGGCGATAAGTGCTTTTTTCATCGGTAGAACGCGATCCTCTTTTTCTTCTAGCGTCGAAGGAACGCCGAAACGAATTCTTTGCACGGCGTCGTTATTCCAGAGCCGAAGAATAACAAGAGGAGACGGGCAAGGGGGGGTATGGAATCGCGGACGGGACGATAATTGCGATGGTTGTTCGATGATACAGGTAGAGGAACGACGATCGACACGAATACTCACTTGTGAACCCATTCTATGAGAGCTTGGGTGGCCTCTGGCGTTGCCCCAGGAATGAGATTGGTGACATGCTCCCAGGCGGACAGAAGTGCATTCACCTTGTCACCGTACTTCTTTTTGCTGTCACTCAGTGTCGCTTCAAGCCCCTGAAAAAACCGGTGAATCGATGAGCAGTCGATTAAACACAAATAAACCGCTCGGACGTTTTAAATATCGCCGGGAAATATGATTAATCCCGTGCGGTTACGCTTCTTTCCGTCGACTTAAGGGTGGATTCTAGCACGATAGGCCGAACAAATCCATTCAAGCGCAATGTGTTCAAGAATATTTTGTTGAAATTGATTGTTTCGCGAACAGTCGCTCATCTGCATCAATTTCAGCATGGGCCTTTTCCAAACGTGTCTAGAAGTGATTTATTGAAAAGATGTTTAGGTGGATACACGCAGAATCTTAACGAAAGTTGAACTATTGAAAAATATTTATTTTTAAATTATAAAATTCTAGAGTAATGGAGGTGCTTTAAAAATGGTACTTCTGATCTGAAAACTAAAGGAACTGATTAGAGTTTGCCAGAAGGGAATCGGAAAAGAAGAAGGATAACGGGGAAAATCGTTTCCGAGGGAACAGCCAGCGAAAGATCTTCGGCGAGAAAAGTTTTGGAAAAGTGGTCCGATAAAGCTGAACCTGTAATATCGAAGTAGAGGAGGAAAACATTTCCTGTAGCTAATGCCGGGTTCCGGCTGGCCGGCAAAATGCTTAATAGGAAAGTTTCGCGAAAGTTCGACCATTAATTAGCTTTGACTAAGCTTGTCGTTTTGCACGGATTCGACGAAATCGCACCTCCGACCGTTTCGCCATCGTTCCCGGACTGTTTTCACGTACCCATCCGGTCGATCAATTAAACACATAAAATATTTTGTTTCATTTAGTTCAGCACGCACGGATGTTGTTGCGTTACCGTGTTATTGTTTCGTGAAATTTCAATAAAACTTCATTTATAATACATTTTCACGTCTGCATGGAAATACATTATAATCTTGATTTCGCGGACTAATTGGGAACAGCGAATGCGACCGTTAAATTCGAATATCCATAAAATAGCGTCTACGTAAAACCGAAAGCACGACGAAGGTGTGTTTTAATTGAAAAAATTGTCTAATTATTCGTTCGGTAGATCTTTGTCTTCGTAACTAATTGGATTTTCCAGCTACGGGCAAACTGATGGAATTAGACTAATGATACAGAACACAATGATCGAATGCACCGCACTCGAGCGCATAGTCGTTTAAAAAAATAAATTAACTTCACAGCTATGTTAACGAGGCACGTACGTGCCTCTAGTTTGATTTGTTGTCGACGAATTTTCAGAGCTCGGTCATTCCCCGACCGACGATCACACGATTATCGAAGAACGTTAAACAAAGTGCAATTGATCGAAACAATGTTCTTTTTGATGCACACGGGAAAAAGACTGGAGAAGAACCAAATGTGTATGTAGTCGTTCTGCTCCGCTCGCCGATAGTATAAATGAACCTTTGTACCAGATTTTTGTCTCTATCGCGCTTCGTTTGATTCGATGACAGGGTCATTCCACGGCGAATCGATTACTTTGTGCACTCGAGGTCAGAGGGCTCGATATTGAAATTAGGGAAGGAGAGCATGTAATTATTTTGCTGGTTTCGAATTATCTTTCAAGCTGAACGGTCGTTTCTGAAACGCGAAAAATACGAAGAATTCTTATACCGCGAGTTTCGAGCTGAGAATCGTTTCCGAAAAATCGGGGAAAATATGCCACGATCACTGGGGGGCAGCCTGCATAAAATATGTAATTTCTAGCGTGGGCGTATCATAATTAACATCTCAATTAGCCGTTTAAGGTGGAGGGGCGGCCCGTTCCAGGTAACAGACGCACGCGCGTCCAGGAGCTACGGTCAGCGAACCGAACCGTACTCGTGTTATATTGTTTCAACGTAGTTTACAATTTGAAATCAGCAAAATTATGATTTAACCTCTCCTCAAACTTCATTAGGATACAGGGTAGACTGTAACAACGATTCTTGACCTTCAATTTACCAGGGACCTCGTTTACGTAACTTTTTAAGACCTTGTAAATATGTAACTTGAGAATTTTTCGATATAGAATCAGGTTTTAACTTTCGAATTTTTAAAAAATCGAGTTTGCTGTCGAAAATTTGAAAAACCAAGGAAACCTGGCTGATCCCTGATCCGTGATTCGTGATCGGTCAATGATTCATCGCGTAATTACTAATCACGAAGAAGGCTAGAGAAACGATGACCGTTCTCATCCTATTAGACCGCAAATATTGGACAAACAGAATGGACGGTCTGCTCTGTACGAGAAACCATCAAACGAAATCCTACTTTTAATGGATCCAATAATCAACGATCGATGATTTGCAATCAGCGGAATCGCGAATCGACGCTCCTGCCACGAACAAGTAACTTTATCTTCTCGAATTCGCAACGAAGGGCTCGATGATTCGCTTCGTTAATAGTGGGCTTCCTCCCAGCAACCCTTCCGCTGTATCAGTGTCTTCCGAGGATGCACAGTTGGGAAAATTACCGCGATAAAATTACGTGCGATCACGCGATAATTAGACAAATTTTCTACACGGTGTAATATAAATAATTTGACCGTTAACCCCCAATAGCTGTTTTCAATGTGAACGCCGCTTCAGAGAAAATTGAACTTTTAATTCAAATTTGATTAATTCGATTCACGTTGCTATGAATTATATTTGAATTAAGACGCGTATTGTATTATGTATGTCGGTGGAGTGCAAAGGGTTAAAGGATTACATTTAATTAGCGTACCACGTTCCAGGCTCTTCGGGAAGGGGGGAGGAGCGACGAGGGAGACTTGAAAATAAGAGAGGAAAATTGTAGAGAGGCGTATATTTGTCCTCGCAGAGGGTGGCGAAGGTGAGCTCGTATTCAGCGATCAGGCCGCAGAATACCATCGGGTGGTATTCTCAGCGACGCGTGCTCGAGAACGTACAGAGCACAACGGCCACAAATTTCCTGCAAACTCTACTCCTCCGTTCAGCTATTTGCCTACGCGATACACATTCGCTCCGAATAACACGACGAGAATCCACCGATCCCTGCACGTTCCTCGTTAACTGATCTATGGATCCGAAAACCGTTTAACCCGCAAAGATGATTCGAGACTTTCGCAGTTAACGCTTCAACGTTCGCTTGTTCTAGCCGACGATCAACGAACCGTGTACGACGCTGGATCTGCTCAAAGTTGCTTGTTTCATCATTTGTTATAAGGATCACCCATTCTCTCGGTGCATCTTATTCTACTTTTTATATATTAATAGCACCAAAATAGACCGATTAAACTCGAACCTTGATTCATTTTTTCCTAAAATAATACCGTTTCGTTTCGGACAGAAATACACGCGTTTCGCCTCCCATAACGTCGAGTTACGTTCGCGTCGAGCTCGACATTTATTGCACGTTCAAATCATCCGTTTGACTTATATACGAAAATCTCGGAGCCGGTAGTCTCACAGATTTGACAACGGACAGGCAAAATTTGATAAACGAAACGTGTAGTTATTCGGTCGATTTCCAAAAATTTTCAAAAAGATACAAAATTCGATGGCAGATAAAAAAAAAAGTCGAATATTTTTGGTAACTCCGCCACTGTGACAAATTTCGTCGAAACACGGTAGAAACGAGAATGCAGAATTGGAGAAACCTGTTAACAATGGCGTTGTCGTAAGGAGTTCGCAAAGAAACGTCTGTTTTTTTAGTGTTTAGAGTGGAAGCCTCCCACAAACAAGTAATTAAATCTGCAACGATAAAACAGCGCGAGTATTTGAGCGACCTTGGCTCGGGACGCTTTTACTTCTTTACGGAATCAATTACCCTCCCGAAGCACGGAAAAGGAAAAAGTGCGGCGTTAAAAGGGCTGGTAAACAACCGGCGGAATTTTCACGGATAAAGAAAGTCGTTGCAAAAATTCACCCGTGCCCGGGAGAAAAACTTTCCAATTGCGACGGGAGTTAATTTTGAAAGGATGCTTCGCGAAAGCTCGGCCATCGGTTACTTACACGAAACTCCCTACCCCACCCTCTCGATCTTACTTTCGCGTAACTTTCCCCATTTGCAACTTCCGTGCCCCGTTCGCGAGAACCACCCCTCCGCTACGCCTCTTCCATTTCTCCATTTGCTTCTTTATCTCGTCGGGTTACAGTCCCCGGTATCTCCTTCCTAATTTTACGCCTAGCGACGATAAAATTTCACCCCCGGTTTCTTCGATCAAAACGAAACATTCCGTTCCTCTCGTGCGTTAAAGGGACATTCTCGTTTGGAAGTTGTCATATTCCGTTTACCTCGATTTGAATAATTAAATAAGTTCGAAACAAATTCCGAACAGCGTAGAGAGAAGGCTCGAAACTACATTCGCACGTATTTCATCCTCTCCATCCCCTAAGAAGTCTTTCAGACACGCGCCTGCGTACGTGAGCGGCTTTTCGCGATATTTCGATGCTGGTGCACACGCCTGCCCCTCGCTCTTTGTCGTTATAGTTTTCCAATTTTCCTTTTGCTCCGAAGAACAACGAGAAAAGAGCACGACCCTGTATCGGATATGCTCCCCGGCTCAGTCAACGCCGAAATTCGATACGTTGCGCGTGAAGGATTTCCGATATTAACTCTTAAATTCCAACGTTTCAATAATCCGATTCTATGCAGCGCGTCAGCATTTCGCGAAAATTCTGTCAATTTCCTTCCGATATTAAATCGGATTTCGCCCGGGTACCGTCGTCGTTCGATTCAAATGTTTACTCGAGTCTTCGTCATCGATTTTTTCGTTTTTCTTCCCGGCGTCGATTTTTCTTCGCGTAGGGAGCCTTAAGCTCACGAACAGGGTAATTCTAACGAACGTCGTGAAAGTATCGCGCGGGAATAAAAAGTTGAACAGAGGGTTGAACGCATCTGATATCGTCCATTGCGGTATCTCGCGACGAAAGAAGTAACATTTGTTGATAATGAACTGGCTGAGGAAGGCATATTACTAGGATTTACTACTATTATGATGCATTCCTGCAATTGCTTTTACGTAAGGACAAAGGGATTTTCTTCTTCGCTGTAATTCCGTGAAATATTGCTATTTTCTTTTATCAGTAATAAGAAATTGTAACAGTCGACGCGTTAATAGTTTACCCCGGGGAATAAGAATTTACTTATTTCTAGGACGGTGTACTGTTTTAATACGTTCATTTCAGGATGGAAAATTTTTCCTTTAAAAAAAAAAGGGTGATATTTTTTAAATTTAAATTTCACGTACTTGGGTTCTGGGAAAGAATGGGTCTCATAAAATACCTACTCCACCGACGGGCGAGCCAGACGCAAGAATGTAAATCTACCTTCTCCGCAACGAACGTATTAAGGCAGAGTTCTGATTTGTTTGCATGAAATATCGACCTCTTTATTAATTGAATTTTCTAGAACCCCCTGGAACATTAAAACACGACGGCGATATTCGAAGATTTTTCAAAGCAGTTTCCTCGAGAGAACGCTACAAACGTTAACGAATAAAAATTAAAATTAAAATTAATCACCGATCGACACCTGGCCAGCAAGTTTTTAATTACACAGTTGCCGACCGGTCGAGTTAACGAAACATAAGTCGCGTGTATCCCTAACGCAGATTGATGGAAAAAGCGAGGCAGTACTGTTGATGATTGAAATTCAGTTTCAACCTGTGGGGCAAAATTTCTCTCGACGGACATCGATCGATAATAATTCAAACGACGTCGCGTTTAGACTGATTTTCATCCGGCGAGGCTGCAAAATGCATCGACGATACATATAATAAAAAAAAAAATATAACAATTTGAACCTTCATCATTGGATGAAATTCGATCCCACGCGCGTGTATAATCGCTCATGCCTGCGGCCGCCGGTTGCTCGTGCTGAGTAAACAGAGTGTTAGGAATTACTTACAAGGTAACGACGAGACTTGCCCCTCTCGGAATTGCCTCGAGCTTTGCATACATACAAAACCAACGTAATTATCGCGATCCACGTATCGGGCAAAAAAAAAAAAAAAAAAATTACATTGCTCCCCCAAAATATTCCGCTTCGAGCGAAACACTTTCCACGAGATGAAGATCTAACCAGAGAAAGACGACTTTGATAAATTTTTAAACCCTTTAGAAATAGAAATAATATAAATACACGCGATGAAAGTCTATGTTTCGAGGACATCCGCGTACGCATAGTTTGACGCGATCATGAGACGGGGCAAGTCTGGACGGTCCCCCTCGTCGTAGGTAATTTATCTTTCGTATACCTGGGAGATACTGTAATGGAAATAAAGAGAGAAGCAACGAAGCAAATCGGGCAAGTTTTAAACCTGTGACCTCACCACGCACGACTTTTGGATGTGCGAAGACATTCAGAGGGGTGGTCGAGCTGATCGGTGGTACAGCAGCAGTGGTAACGATGAAGTTCCGGGCGAGAGAACGCGTGGTGGTCGACGGGACTCGTACAAAATGTCCCAGGAATACTTGTCCCTTCTTCTTGGATCGAGGCCTAGGGTGACGGCTAGCGACGCGAGCTTCCCGGGCGTCGGCAGCGTCGAGGGTGTTCCACTTCCTCCGGTATATTCGGGCGACGGCGAGGTGGCAGGGGTAGGGTCAGGGCTCGTAGCGGACATCAGCGACCTTCGCAAGCCTCGATGTTCGATTCAGAATTACCGGAAGATCTCTAGACGATGCCCTCCTACGAGACCAGCCTCCCTCTCTTCTTTACTCTGCCCTCAGCTTCTTCCTCGTTCTTGTCTCTCCAATCTTTTCCCTTTCGCTTCCGTCTTCCTCTCCTCTCCTTCCCTTCCCCTTCCCGTTGCCTATTTTTCTTCGCCCCCCTTTCTTCCGCTTTATCTCTACCGGCCTCCGTTCCTCTTTCCTTCTCCAGGCTGAATCCGGGTTTTATCCTGCTTCTTTCTCGTTCCCACCGGGTGGTCTTCACAGCCAGGACACGCACGAGGGCCACTACCAACTGAACGCCAACGCCTGCTGCACCGCTATCATCTGCAATGCAAAACCAACCGAGAATCGTATCATTTCTATTCGTCCGACAGAACAAATGCTATTCGTTTATCCCGTCTACTTTGTCTGCCCGGATCGTTGTCGCTATCACTGACCAGATTTCGTGACGCGATTCGCCCCTGATCTACCTACCAAAAAATTCCTCGCCAAGGTCGTTTGTACCGGCGTAAATCAACCCTGGGCTATTGGATTTGGGTGAAAAAGTAGTAGTCCTTCTTTTACTAAATGAAAATTTATTCTTTGGTTTTGAAGGACGTCTTTACTCTGCTAAAACTGAACAAGAAGTGACGCGACGCTCAGGTCCCCTAAAAAGGAAAACTGGCGTCCACTTAAAATGAAAGAAACCATTGCCTGCATCGTGTTTATTTCCCTTGCCTTAGATGACAAAGACAGACCCAGGCCCCTAGAACCGATGGTGCCAATACGGTCTTCGACTACAGACAATGGACAGTGTTTCTCACTGTTAGATTCAGTTTTGTGAAGGATTATTTATTAATAATCCAACATGGGCATTCTCAAATGTAAAAGTCACGGGCGAAGGAACTACCGAACTACCCCTATTCGCGCTTATCAAGCTGCTGCTTTGATTTTTCGCTTAGGGAATAACAAAATCGTTGGAATCCTTTTATACCTACGTTTAAAAGGTAATATTTTTTTCGCAAAAAAAGACCAGAATGTTCCCCTCGAAATCGTCGAAGCGGGATCGATGGAAAAGCTTCGCAGCGAACCGTCAACCGTGAATCGGTCGTTTATTCCTTTCGAAGCTCATAAAAATGTATCTGGCCGAGTAGCCCAGCCGGCGGAGGATTATTTTCGTGGAATTCCACATGAGCTTCGGGAGCTTTCAAATTCCTTTCCGGCTGAACCGACAGCCAATTAGAGCGATGACGTACGCGCCGATAGCACCGCTAGGCCGGAAGTAAAGAGGATTAAACGCGGAGAGAGGCGCTTCTCTCTGATTGTTGGCTTCCGATACGAATGTGCTCTGCCTGTCCGATTGCTCCGGGATCCTTCTCTTTGTTTATTTTTTTTTTTTTTTTTTGTATTATTTTTCTTTTTTTTTTTCTTTCTCGTTTCGCGACGAGGAATTGCGAGACTGGGGGGGGGGGGCCGAACCCGAGGCTTTAAGAGCCGCGATTTATTCGAGAGGACTCTTCTAATTGCTTTCCCACCGCAGATGGAAACTGTTACGGAGGACGTGGATGGATCCGCCGGCGTCAACGTCTTTGAAAAATGTTTTGAAAGTAGATAGCCGGACGCCGTTTAGCTTTCAAAGTGTTTATAGCTTAGTCGGTCGTTGAATGGGACTCTGACGTAAGCCGATGGCACTCTCACGGTTGGCTGACGGGCGTCGGAGTCACGCATCATTCGGCTGTCACCGGTGTTGGGGCAAATTTTATTCTCGAATAATGAATACAAATGTTTGCTCGTGAACTATCGTTCCTGCCCGCGGCTTTGCCCGAATATCGGTTCGAAAAAATTCAACGATAGAAACGCGCAGAGTTGGATCGCCGATCGATCGAAAATTTCCAACATTTTGAAAGGAATTGAAATTCCTCTAGTTCGTGTACAGTTACACATTTCGTGCGTTTCGATTCGAGCCAACTTTTCGACATCAACGGGGTGGATTGATCGATGCGGCGCGGAACGACCCCGTACGCGAGACGTTTCGAGTTAGGGGATGTTCCGGTCTTAAGAAAACGTATAAGTTCTCGGGGGGTACGAGCGATTCGCTGTAAAACTTTTATAACCAGAATTCATGAATTTTGCGTAGATCGGTTGACTGTTCGCGAATTCCGAGACGCGATAGCGATACCCGTTGAAAATTCTATCGGCGTATCCGCGCGATAACCTAGCTCCCGAAATGGTAATTCGAAACCGAGAGGAGCCGTGTACCGTGGCCCCAGCCATCGATAAATGTTGTTATACTGTCTTTCGCGCGTTTTCCACGGCACTTCCTGTTTCGATCGAACGGAGATTACTAAATTACGGTCGTTGAACGCAACACAATGGGGCCCGAGATTTCTCAAATACTTTGACACGTTTCAGAGCATTTTAAAAAACTCTTAAAATAATCTGCTCCTGTAACGATGCATCCTCGTAAAGAGGGTGTCGATACCTATCAGTGTATAAAGTTCCGGTCGAATCGGTGACCCGGAAAATCTTGCACTTCCCGCCTAAGACGGTACGCCGTTAGACAGGCTACGATAAAAAGAAATAGTCGCGTCTGGTCATCAAAAGTTCGATCCACGGTGTCTACCCACAAATAAAATAATTCTCAGAGACCAGTAATTTCCAGTAATTTCTCTTCCGCGTAGATCGGCGGAGATACGAAGTTTGTCCGCGTATTCTAGCGTGAAATTATCCGAGGTAAGTAGCCGTGTCTCCAATCTTTCTCCGCGGACGAGACGAAAGCACGAGGAACACCTCGAAACGTTAGCAATCGGGGGCGTACGCGATGCACTTTGTTTCATCCGTTCGACGAGGAACGCGTCTATCCAGCTCGAATCGTGATACCGTTCCGAACAAGATCGATCCTCTCGCCTGGAACGCTGCCCTTTTATTCGAGAAGAATAACAGCTCCTCTGTTCGTATCTTTCTTTCCTTCGTAACCTGATTCCACGTCATCCGTAAAGCATTTCGTCTTACAGAAGAAGAAAAACATTTACCGCGGAGATGCCATCGGAGCCGAGGTAATCGCGCAAGAACGGGTACGAGGCGATCGACGGGGAGGCAAGAAATTTCGCCAAAAAGTCCGCTAACAGAAATGTTACGCACGATAACCACCGAGCACTGTATTGTCTCTCTTCTTGGAACTAAATAGGGACCAGATTTGGGGTTGCTCGAACATGTTTCAACCCCCTTTGTTCGCGTTAAAACTTGGCTATTTCACGTTGCTAAAGTGGGATTGCAGAGACTTCGAATGCTTTAAAATAAATATCGGTTCCGTGATAATTTTAAACGGAGTAACAGCATCGAAAATGGCTAATTGCCGGGAATATTAAATTCTAATACTATATTAATGGACGTATTAAATTTCAGGATTATTTGTCGAGCGATAGGTTTTGGCTATTTTCGGAATTCTCCCTATTTCGACTTGTACGTCACGAGAATCGCACACAAACGAGCAGAAACCCTCATCGACGCTTACGAACGCTTCGAACCTGCCTTTTCGAAACTGAACACGCTAAATAAATAAACAATGTTCATCGATAACCATTCTATTTCGAATTCCGTAAAACGACGTCTTTCGTATCGGCTGGGTTTGATGAATCTTTCATCGGGGTAGCTTTCGAATCGTTTCGCGATGGAAAATTTTCATCGAGCCTCCCCCGGCCCGTTCCCGAGTGGCTACAATATATTCCAGCCGCGAGTTTCCACGTTTGGGGACGATTTTCCACCAATTGCGCGACGATGGGCTTCCAAGCTTCGTCTCGAGTGAGATAAACTTGGACAAATACGAACTATAACGAAAACATCCCTATCGTTTGTCAGACTCGAAATAATTTAACGAGCAAGATGTACCAGGTACGAGAAAACTGAAATAAACAAATAGAAAGAAGCGGGGGAGGAACGGACAGGTTCCACGATTCGGTCGACTCTCTTCCCGATGTTTTGCATAAGATTAATCCGAGCTCTCGTTTCTCTCGGAGGTTCGCACCGGTTGTTCGTGACCAATAGCAATTATTCTCCTTTCAACGTCTCCCGACGAAACTAGAGCCCAGGCCAGACTGCGAGTTATCTATCGATTACACGATTCAGCCGAGTCTAACTTGTATATACAGTACAGAGGTTCGCTTTATTCCACGGTACGCGTTGCTTCTCGCGTGACCGAGCACACCGAATCATCCTCCTTTTCTGCGTGAATCGCGCGTAGAAACGTTTTCTTCCACGAAACCATCCCCCCCGAGTTATGCCCGCGAATTTTCAAACGCAACGAAAGCTTCGTTGTAGCAGAATCGCTTGGATCCAAGATCAATCGATCGTCCAAAGTACCTATCGTCTCCCAGTAAATTTAAAAGTATATTATCGCTAACAGATTTTAGCGAAGTAAACTCTTCGCCAGCAATTTAATTCGTTCAATAGTAAACGAATGTGATATATTTTTCGTCTCTATTGGCGAACAAAGGCCGCCTCTAACGCGTGGAATTTAAACGCGAAAACGCGGAGAATGCGAATTCGCGTGCTCTTTTATTCGTTTTAGCGTCGGCTGGCAAAAAATTCGATACGCTCGACGAATAAGCAGAATCGAGTTTTCATCGCGGTCCTCGGAACCGAACAATTAGCCGAGCCATCGAAGAGGATCGGCCGCGAGTCAAACATCGAGGCTGCATCTAACTCGTCTACCGTACCAGCCGTTTAATTCACGTTCCCTATATACCGACATTTAAATTATTCCACTTCCGAGTAAGCAATAAATTCCGCTCGTCCACTGTGTTCCTATCAACGGAATTCATTTCCCTGCGTCGAGAGAACGAAAGACGGAAGAAACGAGCGGCTGGGCTATTTGCATGGTAACCGTTCCTTGATGCCGCTTTCTGACGACAGATTCCCTTTTGAATTTTTCCCCGTAGATTAACGAGCAACTACTCGACTCTCGACAAAACCGTTCGAAGCGGAGGACCGGTCGTTCCTCGGACATGAAAGAACGCGTCGATCTGAGAGGCGAAATATGCGAAACGAGAAACAGAATGCATGTCAACGAGAGAAATATGCACCAAGCCTCTGGGTACAACCCCGTCCATACTCGATACTTTCCTTGAAAATTTCCGCCACGACCTCCCTGCAATATTTTCTTTCCGTCATATTGTCCGAAGAATTGTAAAAAAAAAAAAAAATAGATACGATCGAACGAAGGATTGAAAAATATTCGAACAGAAACAAAAATATATATTTCTATATTTCATACCGGATTTTCCAATGCAATGTATATATTTTTTCACCCAGCGTTTTTTGTTTACCATTCATAATGACCAGCGCCG